CCATGAAAATGTTCATTTTCCTCAATGGGTATTTTCTACAGAAAAGTTTTGTGCTTTTCCTCAGATTGAAAGCGAGTTTTTTTTTAGTTATTGGGAAATAGCCCAATCAAATCCAATTACATGACAATTACTCATTTACTATTGTAAAGACTTGTCTTACTCTGGACTTCTGAACAAATCCAGACTGAGAGTGAACTTTCCAAATCCCTTTGAAGACAAAACAATCTTCGTGCTCGATGGTCTGATTCCAATGGAGGACACCACACCCCATTTGGAATAATAGCAGTGGAAGGGGATCATAGCATCGCGCACGCGTGTCACAATCTGGTTTTCTTTTATGGGGATTTCCGACACCATGTTGCTGTATATGGCATGATCCTTAGTATGCTTCAGAATTGTACCACATTCATCGGTTTTGGTTTGAAGGAAAAAGTGAGTCTCGTTTTCAGTAGCTGTACACTCTGGATCTATGAGCCTCAAATGCTCACGGTCTAAACCCAAAAGGAGAGACTTGGGTAGAGTGATAGTCATCTCGTCCTGACCACAGTCTACTTCCACTCCTTCGGCTGTTGAAAAAAAGAACAGATTTCATTTCAAGGTTCTGCAGTGTTAAATCAAATGCCAAAAAGGACATAGACAGCATGAAGAATAAACTTGGAACCTTTATCACCGAAATTTGGCTGCAAAATCAGGGTAATAATATAGCCATAAGAAAGATTTTGTGCTGCACATAATTATATCGGCAAGAATAAGCTTATCATTGAGCAAAAGGGCCGATCTCCATAAAAAATTATTTTTACCACACACCTGTAAACTCTTAACAGTGATCATAAATTGATTGTGTTGTCTGATCTCCCAAGGGAGGGTGCAATTATTGTTGGAAGAGGTGACTATTATTTCGAAAACCTTAATGGAATTCACCATGAGAAAGGAAATCATACATACATAACACGGGCGATTCCTGATAATCTTCCAAACATATTTCCTGTGGTTTTGTTCTACTTACCGATACAATGTCGCTGGTCTTGTGCAACGCTGAACTCTGGATCTGAGCAAGCGCAGTAGTAACTGCCATTGGTATTCACACAAATATCTTGACAGTGTCCATTCTGGTCCAGACACTCATTAACATCTGAAAGAAAGAAGACGTTTCAACTAAAACAAAAGTCTCGTTAAATCAGTAGGAAATGTAATGATGTCTAATCTATGCCCAGCAAAGTAGACAAACGGACAATTAATCGTCTTAGCAGAGGTGTGATCTATAATAGTAAAAGGCCATTAACAATGGAATTTTGTTGGCGATTTGAGCTCAGCTTTCTTTCTTTCTGTCCATATTAGCTCTGATCTCCCGCCTCTCGTTATAATGACCCCATTATCGATCAAAGAGGGCTAAATACCTTAGCTGAAGAAATTTTAGATTTGAAAAAAGCTGTATGCCGCGGTTTTACAGTTAGTGATTCCCCTAACATCGCAGTGAACGTATTTTGCTCAAAACAGGGAAAATTATTTATTTAGCATTCCTGTTTATTTAACTTAGCCGATAACAAAATGTCTGTCAATCATACGCGAGTCGGTTTAGTTTACCGAACCAAGATTAGTTGCGTCATCAATGAGCTACTTGAGTCATACGCTTTTAATGCACGGACAAAGAAAAGTTCACCAACACAGCCACTGAACATCATATCCCCAAATTTTGGGTTTTGTGTTTCGAGAGAAGGACCAAAGCTCTTATATTGAGCTATAAAATAAAAAATATATCAAAATAACATGTAAATTAAAAAAAAAGTTGTGGTTTTCAAGTCAATGAATAGAATTTTTCAGGTTGGACAAACACTATTATTTTAGACGTTCGCCGTGGGCGTCTATTCAAATGCGTCTGTTTTGTTTCTAAACAGGAAAAAATTATCTATTCACTACTCTGTACAATAATTAATCAAAAAGAAGGGTTAGAAAGAAACTTGAACTTTTGACGCCTAAAAGAAGCTGTGTCCATTAGTACTACAAGCTTGCCCTTTTTTTATTCTAAGGGTGTTAGACGACGAATAGGAGAAGGGGAAATAGAGAGAGAAGGGAGGGGGAGCGGGGAAGGAGCTGGGACAAATTATCGATGATTAAAAAGAGTTACAAGTATGAAGCTCATTATTGTTATTATTATCAGAGCGAACCCAGCAAAATTTAACAATACAGTTAAGGTGTCAAATTGCCGTTAAACATCAAATTTTCGAAAATATTCTTTAAATCTTTTTTCATGAATATGTTAATAAATTTGCCTGAAAACTCAGAACTCTATCGACGTCACATCATGACCGTTCTTTGAGTGAACAGTAGATTGTTGCCTGATTTTGGCCAAACAGGAAATTTTAGAAAATACAGCCGAGCTATTGTAAATCTCGACTTTGATTTCATTCGAAAACTCAAGTTTTTCCGAAGACCAGTATTTCTTTAAAGTTTTAGAAAGCTCTTTCGCGTTATTTGTACGTTTTTCAAAGCGAAGTTCATTTTGTAGATATCATCAGTGCTGCAGTTAGTTCAAAGCTAAGTAATGTCAACAAGAGAATAAATAATCATCTATCATATAGTTATATCTTACCTTCATATCCTTTGGCAGAAATTGCAAAAAGCAGAAAGATGGCATAGAACATTGTTTCTTGCTTCAACGTCATCTTGAAGCCAATAAGTAAACAACGATACCAGTATTAATTTGTACGCTGTAGACGCTCTCTCGCGATATACTAAGTGACCTCGAAGACTTTTTTTCCGCATTGCTCATCTTAATGTAGAGTTTAACACGGTTTTCGTAGGTACCCGGAAAAACATGCATTGGATCTGAAACTTCTATTGTCATAAATACAATAGAGTAGTTTCTCTGACGAAAGCGTATGACAATGCTTTAGTAGCTTCCCTCAGGAAAGTTGTAATTAGCAATTAGAATATAACAGGAAAAATTATTCGGGCATTTCATTTAAATCGTGTCAGAACGAGAGAATATCACGAGTCCCTAGTAAGTCACTTGGGACTCGTGTAAGACATGGAATTCAAAGAAGTTTCTTGATTTGTTCCTCTGCGAGTAAACATGAAGTATTTACGACTAATTTTGTGTCATTGCAGGCTGGTTACGGCTATCTAATGGCGCGCGTCGTGAATAAAGATTCTTGACCTGTGAACTCTACCCAATCATTTTAAAATGCAAGTCGTGGTAGAATTTGTAAATATCCTTAACAAAAGTTTTTTTTTTGTACTAGTCTTTGGTGTTCCATGGCAAAAAAAAACATATATTTGAGAATCGGCATGAAACTGATAAGCTGGGTACACATTAATTTCTCCTCGCTGTTCATGCATTTTGACACGATGAACAAACTCTTGTTGATAACACTCCAAGCGTGAGGCAACACAGATGCAAATTAGTTGTCAATAACGTGCTTCTTAAGCCGATTTAAAGAATCAGTGAATAGTGTAAACTTTGAAGGGCTTTCATTTCAATTTTGGTCGGATCAAGAGTTCTTCTTTTCAGTGTTTATTCGTGAAATGCTCTTTGTCATGTCATGAAGAGCCCGAACGGGGTTAACCGATAAGCGGCAAAGGGCGTAAAAAATAAAACTGAATACCAACAAAACGCAAAAAAAAATATTGATTGGCGACAAGAAAATACTAATCGACAAGCGGAATGGTCCGCCATTATATTATCCGTATTTGTTTTCAGGAAAAAGAGCATTTTAGTTCAGGAGGTAACCACTTTAATTTAAGATTCAATTAACTATAAAATTTTCTGTTCGTATATTTATGCGTCTGGACTTGTGACGGTGTGGATTAATGGCAGCTGTCTTAATAATGCTTCTTCAGGAGAGAATAATGGAACTGAAAAGCTGGGTTATCTGTGTTTGTTCGACTGAAATTAAGTTTGGACATCGGACGTTGGTTTCGTTATTAAGAATTTATAACGGAGAAGTGAAACTAGTAGTTGTAAGTAGGAGAGGCCCGTACGGGATTTGAACCCATGACCTCTGCGAATTCTGAAGTTTTTATTAGTATGAATTGCAGCAAAAATGTGGCAAAAGACCCAAAAAATTCCCTTTGTAAGGATGGTAGTACCACAAATCAGTGCGTTTTCGAAGACGTCTCGGAAAAAGATATTCGTTATTAAGAATTTATAACGTATTAAAAAGGCTAAAGTTGGGCGTGTTGCTCTCTGTCTCTCATCTTGATTACTTCGCAATAAAAGCTTTGGTGATTTTATCGGCACTTTATTGGCAAACAAAGGAGGAATAAATGATCATTTTTCTCATAGAAACCCGAGTTAATGAGGTTGAAGTGCAATGAAATGATGAGTCTTAAAATTGACTAAATATGAATGATTATTTTACATTTTAATCATTAAGTGAGATTTACCGACTACCGACAAAGGTCGAAAATTTTAACCGACCGCCGACAAAGCAATCAAATTCTAATTGTCACTTGGCTCGACTTAACCTCTTAAAACTAATATTACCCTCTCTGACACGACAATGACTGCATAAATTGATTGTAAAGTTACCTTATCAACGTCTCCCACAACTGAGACGTTCACGATAGTTTCAAGACAACTGCGACAAATGAATTACCCGGTGACTTCGATTCCCTTCTTGCGGAATATTTCAAAAATACAAAAGCTGGAGGTGCTTTTGTTTGTCAAAAATGAACAGACATAGTCATTTGAAGATCATCGTAGTTCTCTTGTGGAATGAAATTACGTTTATCTAACTCGTTTTGGGAATAACTATCGGACAGAACTGTATAATTTTAGTACTTCGTGTAGTATGCATAAATTAGCTGGTGGATCCCTCCTACAGACTTTATGTGATTTTTATAACCATAAATAATTTCGCTCTGATTTGGAATCACATCCCCATTGCTGGTTGTCGATATTGTTACGGTCTCGGCTGTACATACTGCATCATTTAACACGCGTTTTAACTGAATTTTCCCACTCAGGAGACCATTTGTAAGAAATTTTATTTGCAATATTTTCGTTTAATCGGGACAGCCTTATGATGTACGATTTTTGTAACAAAATCAGACGTTATTTATATGCTAAAACTTGGATGGACGATCGCTAAAGTCGTTTTGGCTTTAAAAGGTCATCCTCAACGGCATATTTTCAATTTGGTGCGCCTTTCCCATATTCTTCAACTCTCACACAGTCTGATTACAACTCCCAGCGCTTATCATCTCTCATTGGTATGTCTGGTTTAGGGGCTGGTATGGTAGATTTGTCATCCTGTATGAATGAGTAGTAATCTTCTGGCATATTTGTTGAAGCATTTAGGCAATCTTGGGAAAAGAAAAATATGCGTTAACAGGCTAATTCAAAGCGATCCTTGCAGTTATGAACACTACTCAATTAGTAGTGAAAATAAGGCCTGAAAAAAATTCAGGCCCGTACGGGATTTGAACCCATGACCTCTGCGATACCGGTGCAGCGCTCCACCAGCTAACATAACAAGCCAACTGGGAGCTGCTTCTTATGTTGATTCCGAAGAAACCGTCGAAGTGGTGAATAAATTTACATCCCGTTCTCAAGAAATCACTATTTAAAGACGGGTCATTGTTCTTCGCTGGGGGAGAGGGAAGGTAGGGTTCGAACAATTATGGGGGGATCACAAATGTGATATGTGGTCGCCTCGTTAGCTCAGCGGTTAGAGCACTGGTCTTGTAAACCAGGGGTCGAGAGTTCAATTCTCTCACGGGGCTGGGCAAGTTTCCTTTTTGTCCTCTTCGAATAAAAAAAAAGTTTCAAATTATTGATATATTTGTTAGATTTAGAGTATGGTCTAAAACAATTATCTGATATTGTGTTAACTTTTTTCATTTGTGTGTCTATTTTTGGTGAAGGAGACTGCATTGATGGCGTGCTGTGATTGGCCAACAATTACGTCATATCTTATCCTAAATGCAGGGTGGCTTGATCAATCCTCTGAGGCCCTGATTCTAGAAATTGTCTTCTGACAATTATCCAACATAAGATGAAATTTGTTTCTCTCTTTTTCAACAGATCAATTCATATGTGGATTCATTTTATGAGAAGCCAATCTTGAGCTATGTAGATTTGATTTTCTTGGGTACTGGGTCATAATTTGTTTGCTAACAAAACACTGATTTATCGGTTTTATTTATTCATTACATCCATTTTGAAATCACGAGATCCTTGCAATCTAATAAGCGCTTGCTTACCAATCGCATTTTTTTTTCTCTAAATCACATCTTTTTCCTAGCCAATGAGAAAGCTTTATTAAACAAAAAACCAATCAGATTTTTAAATCTGCTTGTTTTAAGTTTGTTTTCAAGTAACCAAACAAATTACAAGATTTGAGAGACAACTTTTGCAAATTTTTGTATTGGGTCAACAAAATATTTGTGCGGACTAAAAAATCTTGTATTTGAGTGGTTATTGGCCTCCTGGTGGAGTGCAATTTTGGTATAGAATTATAATTGTGATTTCAAATCAAACTCGCGCTGCGTGCTCGTTCGATTTTGAAAAAACGCATCAATTACTATTATTCATCAACTGTAATCTCAATAATTGGGAGCTGAAAACATTAATCATCGTCTAAGGATTTTTCGGGGATCACATCAAGTTCCTCCAACCCCCTCCACCTCTTCCCCCAGGGCTGTAAATAATGATTAATCCTTGCATTATTACAAGTGGCCGCCTCGTTAGCTCAGTGGTTAGAGCACTGGTCTTGTAAACCAGGGGTCGAGAGTTCAAATCTCTCACGGGGCTGAGCAGGCCTTCCTTTTTGTTCACTTCAAATCAAAGTAGAAAACAAGTTTCCAGTCACTGATAAATTTGCTAGATTTAGAGTATGGTCCAAAACAATTCTCTGATGTTGTATTTAAGTTTGTTAATTTGCGTGTCTATTTGGTGTAGGAGACTGCATGCTATGATTGTAGGTGTAGGAGACTGCGTGCTATGATTGGTCAACAGTTGCGTCATATCTTGCCCTAAAGGCAAGGTGGCTGTATCAATGAGAAAGCTTTATTAAACACAAAAACCACTCAGATTTCTAAATCTACTTGTTTTGAGTAACCAATCAAATTACACGATTTGAGAGACAACTTTTGCAAATATTTTTACTGGATCAACAAAATATTTGTGCAGACTAAAAAATCCTGTATTTGAGCGACTGGATTTTGTAATTTCAAAATGAATTTAATAAAGTGGTTATTGTACTGAGTAGGTGCAATTTTGGGATGAAATTATGCTTGTGATTTCAAATCAAACTCGCGCAGCGTGCTCGTTCGATTTCGAAATAACGCACCATTACCGTTATTCATCGACTATAATCTCGATATTTGGGAGCTGAAAACAATACGTACCTTGTTCATTTTCGTCCAGAATTCGTTCTACACACAGCCAGTCCATTAGATTTTCCTTTTGACTACTTAAGTACCACTGCGTTATATCATCCTCATGGCTTTCCAACATATGAATACACTGAGAAACAAAGGGCATCAGAGAATATTTAATCAAAAATAATTGTTAAAATGATAATAATAATGCTGATAGTCCCTTGGACTTGATCCCATTTTTTTCATTCATTTATTATCAGCTAACTCGAACTCAGTGAACTGGAACTTCCTAATTTTACTTTCCTTGGCTCATATTTACCCTGATAACTGAACTTGAACTAAAAACGTCGTTCGATAAATGTAAAAATGTCAAAATAGTGCCGATTGAACGTCCCATTCTTTAATCGCGACTGATATGGAAGTGATAGCTTGCATTTATGAAAACGTAACACATTTAGATAAATCTCCCAAACGATAGGTTCTTGAATAGAATCCTTTATGAAATAAACTCAGTGTTTGAAAACGGCTTTTGATTGGGTAAAAATGGTAAAAAAATATTCCTTTTTGATAATTAACAGGATAATTGAAATACAACATCAATCCCAATAACCCGACCCCCCCCCCCCCCCCCCTCCTAAATCAAACAAGCACTTCCTCGCTGATGTCAATAGATAACGAAAGACTACTTCTTGTGCCCGAGGGCCAGTGAGATGTGTCCTCTGCGTGTTCCAAATGCCAGAAATGATTGAAGATTAAACACGCCATATATTCTTCATTGGGCATTCAAAACGCTAATACACTCTGCGAATACTCAAGAAAAAACAGACTGTTTCGACCTGAACCCACTTCGTCCGTTTGAAACACTTTCTCCGCTCAGTGTGTGGATAGAGCGGTTTGACTGGCAAGTTTTGCCATTTGAAAAACGGCCTTTATTTGAGTTAATAAGAATTTTAGCCTGGGAGGAAAGGCAGAAAGGGTTGAATAGATGGAGGCGAAACTTGTTTACCTTGAATTTGAGTCTCCCCATTTCATAAGTGTAGTCTTCTACGACTTCATCCGGTAGCTCGTAGTTAAGTTTAACTTTTGATTTCTCTTGCATATCTTCCAAAACTTCTCGAAGTTGACTTTTAGCTGAAAAATAAAAAAGAATTATTATGCCGTATTCCAACTGCAAGTCTAACCCTGACAGCTACATCGCTCGTAATGATAGAATTTACAGGTCCGATTGTCTAATTAATAAATAGATTACGTGTTATCATGTGTTTGATCAGTTACTTTAGTAGATCACAAATGACGTAAAGTGTTGTATTTTTGACGTCATCTGTGCGTCTGTCCTCCAATAGTCTAACACAAAGTTTTACTGACAGTGATGGAATCTATAAAACATGCATGCTCCTTTTAAGGTTCTCGTCAAATTTTCTTTTCTAAATACTGTACAAAGTATCTTTGAAATTTTGTTCGGATGAAATAACTGGGTCACAAACCTCCTTTAATGTAAGGAAATTCAGGACCAGGCCTGGCGCGGTAAAGTTTCATTCTCTCGCACAAATTGTCCAAGACGTCCAAGAGACGAAGCTCCCTTAAAGGATGAAATACACGTGATAAGATATCTGTGGTCAGCTGACACGGGTTGGAAACAGCCAACTTGGACATGTTATATTATGCTAATATTGTCGAGATGCACGAACAGGGTGGTAGCGCATTGAACCCTTCAGTTGATATGATTCTCATATCTCCTCCCAAGCTGGTGAACATTTCCCCGTCACTAATTTGAGAGAACTGGTGTTCTATGAGGGTTAAATCTTTCAGCTGATAAAAGTTGTCTATTCTCATCAACTGTTTGCAGAATAACGTATTGTCATGCTAAGGAGAGTTTACATACGAATCACACCAAGGAGTTAAAGGGGTTGGGGTTTTGTACGCGGTAGGAAGAACTCACGATTTTTCATAATGGATACTTTTCTCCTGATTGTCTAGATCTTCAAGTAAATATCCTCGAGGTACATCTTCCCGACGATTCGTTTTCTTCATTTGCTCTAGAAACTCGGTAACAAGAAGTCGACACACTGAAACAAAACAGATATGTTTATTTAATACCGTAAGCTGCCGCTTATAATCCGTGGGCTCATACAACTTCGTAAGGGTTCATAGGTGGGATAATAAACAGAGGGGCTTACGAGCGGGGGACACGTATGACAGGAATAGAAAAAGCGCTTCGGAACGAGCTATAGAAATGCTGATCAAAATGGGTTTTGTTTTCATTGGTTTTTAATCAGGCTTCAATATGTCACAGTAAATCCAATACTTTTTACTACATTTAGAAAAGAATTAAAACCAACTGGAAAATAACAAAACGGAAGTTCAGACGTACTTTTCCCTCGCAGTTCGTCTTTCACAATCAAAAATAAGTAATGAGCTTATTGTTCCGAAACAATTTTTCAAATTTACTGTTTGATGTCGCAGAGAGTTCTCAGAGTAAACAAGAAAAGCTAAAAGAAGACATGTGAGGGGGAGGATTTATGACCGGACGAATTTTCTGTTTTCAGGTAGATGGGCCTATAACCAGGGCAGCTTATAAGTGGAGAGGAGGAAGGGCTTATGAGCGGCAATTTATGGTATCCTTAATGTTCTTTTACTTTTCATGTGTCAATTCAAAACCTGTTTATAGCAAGGTGATGTAGCTAGATTTCAAACTAAGGTTAATTTTGTGAAAACGGTCTTTGAAAAGTAAACCATACTATTAAAAGCTACAAACCAGGGCCCAGTTGTTCAAAGGCCGATTAGCTCTAACCCAGGGTTAAATTTTAATCCAGCTTTCTTTATTTCTTTGTTCAAAAGTCTTTTGGGGAAAGTTTTCACTATTCTTTTTAGAACATCCAATGATCAAATTGCAAGCAAAAAGATTTGAACTGAATTTTCTCTTAAAGTTTTCAGACCTGAAATCAAATTTCACACTAACCCTGGGTTACCTTAACCCAGCTTTGAACAACCAGGGCCAGAGCTTTAAAAGAGTTTAACGACGATAATTATGCGATGTGAGAGTCGTTCAAATCTGATACTGATAGAAAGATCTCACAAGCTTTTCAGATCCTAGTTTCTCTACAGAAAACTAAGAGAATTACGTGTGGCTTAATTTTAAATATTTTTTTTTAATTTAACTTGAGAAACAATTCAGTCAAAGATTTTGTTTAAAAACGGACTTATTTTGAAATTGTCACACAACTTTAACCGATATGAGGTACTAAGATATACTGTAGTTATTTCCACAGTAATAACGGCTAAAATCAGTTAATTGTAGCAATCAAGTTTTGTTCGTCATATTTTTTACCTGAGTTTAATTTTACAATCTTGTTTAAGATGTACAACATTGCTTACCTTGGCATTTTGTGGGTCTTAAATTAGCTCCCTGGTGAAACTTTGTAATATATGGATTAATTTTCTTCTCTTTATCTGCTCCAGGTCCTACTTTTATCCTCTCCTCGCATAATATGTTCCGTATAACAAACAAGACATAAAGACTTGAAAAAAGTAATGGTGATGCCGTTAAATACATTCTGAAACAAGAATGAGCACTTTTAAAATGATTCCCCTTTCCTTCACAAACGTTGGTCCACATAAAATTGTGTGGATTTTTTTCGGCAATGTCTTTAATTTTAATGTTCGAAAGTTATATCAGTATTATGATTTGATGTTTTCTTATGTAAGCGATTATGCTATCTGTGAACTACTGATTGGCTCTTTTAAGCAACTTTCAATGTAACACAAACAGCTGAGCAAACACTTTCATGCGTTTTAATTATTTCCGCTTATTAATGAGCTTCAAAGTTTTCTTTTAGGAGCTTCAGAGATTATTATTTCTAAACAGATCATATAACAGTTTAAAAACGTTTCTCAAGGAACACCTGTGCTCCAAAACTTCCTTGTAAAAGTTTACCTTTAAAAAGTTATTGGTGAAATATCGGAGAATACTTTTTAAAAACCTTTGTTAAGCGATGAGTCAAAGGAGGAGGATATATCACAATATGAAAAAAAATTACTGAAAAAGGGAATAATACGAAACAACTGAGACAAAAAAAAATCGTAGAAACACTAGAAAGTCCTTTTACTTTTCCATTGAATTAAAGTTTTCTTATTTCATTTTATATATTATATTCTACAAATAAAACATGAAGTTTCAGCGTTTGAATAGAAACTCAGTTGTGTTTCAAATTTCAGGTTCTAGAAAGAATAAAGTCTCATTATTTCTCCACACGGAATAGTTCGATCTTCATGTTTACCCAGCCGACTGGCTCCAGCTGCGTTTGCGACACGTCATTTGTAACTCGCCCAGACAACGGGTTCGCTTTCTTTAAATCCATCAAAATAACTAGTCACTGAAGAATACTGCAGTATGATTTCTCTTTGCAAACGGAGAAACTGGCGGTGAATAATCATTTTTAAAGCATTCGAGTTTCAGTGGAAGGATATCTCTTTATGAACACTAAATGGTTTGTCTCATTGCATACATTAGCGATTAACAATAGAACAAATTATACAATGGCACTGTGCCACGATAAATAACAATGAATGAGACAAACGTCCCCAAAGATTGTCAAAGATCTAAACTTTTTTCGCTTGCTACCAATACAGCATAACCGTAACTCGCACAACTGATTGAGTGTCACAATCCGTCTTTAGTTTTTTATTTCCTTTGTGCCCACTCATCTTTAACAAAACTTCGTTGAAGAAATCCTCGACAAGTTTTAAGCTATTTTCACCGAAGTGTGCATGGAAAATGCGTTTATCTTCGAGGTATTGCGCGGCTTTTGTTCTAGTTTTCCTATGGACTACAATATACGCTAAAGACTTTGAGAACGAGTATGAAATTATCGATGGAATTAGAATCAAAAAAGAATCGATTGTAACGATAAAAGAGCAAGACGACAAGAAACGTGAAAAGAACGGACGATCAGACTTGGATGAAGGCGAAGAAGTTTCGGAGGAAGACGAAGACGATGATTATGACGATGACGAGGATGATAGCGATGATGGGGGAGAAGGAGACTTAGAAACAGCCAAGCATCTTCCAACAAAATGTCATGGTGAGTCTAAATAAACGAAGCTGCCCAAAGGAAATAATGAATGCTTGTTATTGCGAATGTAATACTTTGTACTCTTTTCAAGTTTGTAGACTATTGGCGGTTGAAGTTGAGAATAAGCTTACAAAGATTGCAAGGATTAGAAAACCCCGGGAGACCAGGCCTCCGATTTACTACAAAGAGTAAGAAATATTTCTTATTTATGATTGAAATAACTCATTGTTAGCTCATTTGTTACAGTATGTTATTCGTGCATCTTAAAGTAAGCAAAAAGGATCCTCTCAGACAACAAGAAAATGATATTTGTGAACTTTGAGGGAACGAAGATCTCTCTCATCTTAATGCACCATTTTTTTAACATCAGACAGCCTTCATTTTTTATTTCTCTTCCATAACAGGGAACTAGTTATGTTGAGGGTTACGGAGAACATATGTGACGCAATGACGAAGTACAGCGTCAGAGCAAAGGTTCCTTTTAGATATAAACGGGGAGGTAAGTACAGTTCCAAACGTAAAACAACTACAGTCAAAGGGGGAGAGGCTTAGGCATGCAATATTGAGTTATTGATGTTGGCAAAAGGAGGAGTTTAAGTGTAAATGCGGGCTTGTTTCAGCAAGCTGACGAACCTTGCACCAGTTTCTGTAGCATGAGTCGTTTAGAAGTACCTATAGTAAGTAAATTCCTAATTTATAGGTGAATGGTGCACTAGTTTATCAAAGATTACACCCTTGCAATCCTTTTCAGTCAGTCGCTATTCATTTCAATACTTTCTCTATCAATTTAAAGTTCATTGATCACAGCAAACGCGGAGGAAGTCATAAAAATAATACTACAGATATATATCGTGTTGAAGACCAGTTTCTCGTGACTCACAAAAACTTTTAGTTATCACGCAGCAAACGATAAGATTGCGCTTGCGGTCCACAGATAAGCCGCTTATGGGACGCGAACGGTGTATAGGTTTTAAAGGCGCTACGTTGCGAAATTCTAGTTCAAGTGTAGAGGAATATTTGACGAAGACCTCGTCAGAAAACACCAAATAAAATTAAAGTTTAAAGCAAAAGTAACAAGGGTAAGTAATGAACACGGAATGCTAATGGTGAACTTGAGAGATAAGGATTCTTTTTTCAAGATTGGTTGAACATAATGGTTGAAGATGGCTTCTGGAGTAAAGAACAACAAAGGGTACAAACAAGGCTTTAATACCTACAACATTCAAATCATTTACAGTCTGATATACCGCTTGTGGATTTTTTCGTTTTCAGTAAAAAGTATATTCCGCAAGCAAATTGAAGAGATCACAAAAGATTCTCGAATTCAAAAGTGGGTGTTTGCTACGCCAGAAGAGGACATTGATGATCCAACAGGCGAAATAAGACGGCTCAAGGAACAGGTACGCCAAATTCAAATTGTAAAAAAAAATTGATTAAGTAAGTAAAAGTTTTCATTTGTTAAATTCACTATAGGTATAGCATTTACGTTAACTTTGGTAACTTTCTTCTATTAAGTTACTACCTAGAACTGAATTACATTAAGTGTATGTGAATATGACATATTTCAGGGTTTAAAACATTCTTCTAATACAAATTTGAATTTTTTTTTTCTGCAGTTGGTGCTCTGTCGTAATGACTGATATCGAGAGAGTATCAGCTGATATTCTCTGCTGATATCAGTTGTTTTCTCATTGTACTATGTAAATCGTGCTTTGTCTATGTACACATGAATATACGTTTTTTCCTGTACAAAGTGTAAGCGACATTGACATACAGCTATAGTCCCGACATTCTGATAATCAAAACTAGTAGTGGTTAATCTCTTAAAATCTACCAGCTTACAAACTAGCTTTAGACAACACACACGCGACTACCGGTATCGGTTGAGAGACCAACAGCGAAAGCAAACAATTCTCAACCTTTTTTTCCATTTTTCCTTTGATATAGTGCTACGAAATGTTAAAGGAGACGCAAAAACTGCTCATCCATTGGTTTATGAAGGCGCAATCTCGTGACTTGACCAAATGGCTCTGTGCCAAGAGAGTTTTAGTTGATGACGACAAAGGTATGTATGTTTATTTCCCTTAAATAGTTGCGACGTACATTACCATTTATTTCGTTAACCACCGGCACAAGGCTACTTTCATGCAATTAACATCTCAGTTAGAGTCTTGATAAAATTTATTGTCTTTTTCTTCCACAGGATGCCTACAAGTTGAGATGCCCAGGAGTAACCGAGTTGCAGCATTGAGACAAAAGAAAGAAAAGATCGCAGAAAACAAGACAACTAGTGCTTCGCATGAAGAACTTTGATAAATCATAACTATGATTAAACATAGTCTAACATTTTATTTGATCTTTATATATTTTAATTCAGGAAAAAAGATATAAAACACGTTCATAAAGTTAGAAAAGTTTTTCGCTTTAACAACGTCTTAAAATATACAAAAAGCCACCTAAAACTCGTCAGCGTCTGCTAAATTTGTTAATAAATAAAACAAGCGTCTCTGCTCCAGAAGGTCATTCAAACTTCCTTGTTCAAGTATGCGCCCGTGGTAAATAAGAATAATGTAGTCTGCAGTTTCAATTGTTTGTCTCCGTCTTGTGAGTATGATACAGGTTTTATCTCGGCAAAGGATATCAGTGGCATCAGTCACAGCCTGCGGACCAAAATAGGTCAATTCATCGTGTTATTTTACTTCTGAGGCAGTCATGAAACTCATTGGAAAACGCCGCGAGATTGGGAAGAAAACATCACTGATTGACTGAGTGACTAAATGACTGGCCAACCCTCTGACAGACTGACCGACCGACTAACAGACTGAATGACTAGCTGGTTCACTGACTGACTAAATGCCTGACTGAATGCCTGACTGACTGAATGACAGACTGACTGACTGACTGACCAACTGACTGACTGACTAGCTGGCTCACTGACTGACTGACTGACCAACTGACTGACTGACTGACTAGCTGGCTCACTGACTGACTGACTGAATAACCTAAATGCCTGACTGACTTACTGAGTGACAGACCGATTGACTGACTGACTGACTGACTGACTGACTGACTGACTGACTGACTGACTGACTGATTGATTGACTGAATGATAGACTGACTAACTGGCTGGCTGGCTCGTTGACTGTCTAACGACTGACTGGCTGGCTCGCAGACTGACTGAACGACTGACTGGCTGACTGAGTATGAACAACCGGACAAAGGAACTGACTGGCTGGTAATAGGACTGACTGACTAATTGACTGACTGTTTACGTGATTCACATAGGTGGACGACTGAGTTAATGAATGACTGAATGAAAAAATGGACAATAGATGAACGCATAGATGAACGCATAATCTAACAGTCGTTCGTTCTAATCTCTTTCCTTAAATATAATCATAATACCTGATCTTCTTCTTCCAGCTCATCTAAAATGATGATTGGCGATTCTCGGATAATTGCCCGTGCTATAACGATCCTTAGTTTCTGACTATCGCTCAATTCGATTTGATCTTCATCAGGAATTGTTTCATAACTCTAAAACAGACAGCGAGAACGAACCATTGAAAAGGTTGAAAAATGAATAACTTATCTCCATATGGAGCTATTTTTCAAACCTTTACTTTTTACATGATTACAATCAATGAATCAGGAAACTAATGAATCACTATCAACGATAGAAACGCAGACGTTGCTATACCACATTCCTCAAACTTTGGCAAAAAATTAAAAGAATTTAGTTATGCTAACCGAAGACTTTTGGAGAACTGATGTTTTACAGTGCTTATATAGGGAGGAACACTTTCTTTTATCTCTGCTTCATTATTTCAGCCTTCTATTTTATTGGCTCGAACGCAAACAATTGTTCTCTTTTGAAGATCAACTCTAAGTATTTGTCACTCAAACTGTAGCAATCTGTACGATTTAGTTGACCAGTTCTTTACCTTTGGCAAATCCACGATAAATTCGTGTGCATACGCTGAATAGGCAGCGTCCTCAATTTCCGTTTGTGTCACGAGTCTTCCTTTGTCGCCATAAGCAATATTCTCAGCAATACTGTAATGTGACAGGAAACATCGATGGGACACTACTGCATGATGGGATCGTAACCAAGAAAGATCCAGATTGCGAATATCTGCTCCATCTAAAAGCTAAAACGAATGCAGAGTTACAAACGTATATTCAAACGAGCCCTAATCGCTATAATATATGATAGACGACGCTGCGGGCAAAGGAGAATTTAGTATACACCATTGACTACAGAGCAAGCTTAGTTAATTGAGGGACGCATTCAGGAAAATAGAGGTGTCCATTTTATGAAGACAACAGATGATAAAGTCGTAAGAAAATGTTTTCAATCAAGATCAAAGACTGCGTCCATTGAATAAGGCAGTTTATCCTTTTAAGATCTGCTTTCGTGCTGTCGCTCTTGTTGCTGGTTTTGTTTCTTTGTTTGTTTGTTTGACTGTTTGTTTGCCTGGCGCGGGACGGGATTTGTCGATGATGCGTTCAAAAAAGCAAATAACTAACATTTTGTTGAAAGAAGATCACTGAATGGAATTTTTTAGCTCCATACAAAGATATGAGGCAAAGTTACATCGTTTAGAGAAGTGTTTATTGTAAACTGTAAAATGAAGTTATGATGTTTACCAAGTTTCCCTTGACAGGATCAAAGAAACGCTCCAATAAAAGTTCAAACGGATTCACTTTATCGCTGTCCAGTTGAACAATAGCCAGTTTTTGTCCACTGCTGACCCTCACGCTCAGCTGGCTCAGTAGCGGAGCGTCGTTATGGAGTGGATCTGGAAGTTCAACATGTTTAAACTCCAAGTTTCCTTCAACCTCATCCTGCGTGAAAAATTACTTTAGTTTAACAACTTTCAAACTCTTCTGATACCAATAACCAGACTTTTGATCGCACGTTTTTTCTGTTATTCATATATTTAAGTGATTCCTTACAAAATCTTTTTTTTGGTAAAACATAAACAACTTTTTCCTTTTATTAAAGTATCTCTTAACTTTCATGCATGACATCTCGGTTGGAAACTCTTTAGTTCACTTGCAAATCAAAGGAACGAGGCAGAGAGATTATTGAAGCCTCATTAACTAATGGTAAACTCACAAATTAATCAATGTAAAAGCTCACCAACTTGTCACCAATGTGATCTTGCACGTCTAGTGACTCGTCGTCAAAGAGTCTGTTCAGCGAATCTTCATTCTCTTCATGCGCGTGGGACGGCGCTCGTGAGCTTGACGTTGCATACGAACCAAACAGTACAGTCATTAACACTCTAAAACAAAAGGAGAAATATTTTTATCACATAAACTGCGGTGTTATACAGGGATTTCCAGCTCTGAGAAAAGCCGCAACAGCACACGTGAAAAAAAATCGTATTTTTTCACGTGTGGTGATATAGCCAATCGGCTGCTGACACGTCACTCGCCTTTGGCACCACCAAGTCAGGTTGAAAAATATGAACAGCAAGGCCTTCACAATTCTCAGTACAAGTTGTTTATGGCGGCTAGAACACTAAAAAATCCATATCGCTGACAGACTGTGAGGTTCAAAATTTCTTAGAAGGGGAAGGAAATCAGTATACTAAAAGAAAAACCGAAAGTTACATATTCAGTGGCTTTGGTGTTAGCATTTCTCTCGGCTGGGAATGAAAATTGACAACTGGAAGATTTACCAGAGGCCGATTTTGGCCGTTAACCTGAAAGACTTCTACTGTCGGTAAGGAAAGAGTCAGTAAATAAGAATTTTGTAAATTGAAAATTACGACCATTGTTGTTTTTGTAATCATGATTCAACGCATTTTTTCCGTCTTAAGAGTTAGCGCCAACGCACCACTCTACGATTGTTATCCGGGGATTGCCGATTCATTTATTTTCATTCATTAATGAAGTCGGATTTTCTTTTCAGTAAAGGGCTATTGTGTTTATATGATAAACAAAATAATACATACTTGTTGTTGCTTGTAGATATGGGATTTCTCTTCTCGTGTTCAACTCGACATCTCACTCGTGAGCTATCGAGTGAAACACTCGAAGAGAAATTCCTTATCTAGGCGCGCCCATGTATTATTCTCTATATAACGGCTTGTACCACTTGACAATAAGTTAATAGGAGTGACGAGAACAAAATGGAAAATTACCCTAAAACTTCAATGGCAGCCATATCCCTTATGCTGATTAGGTAACATCCAAACCTAAGTGCACCTGCGTAAATGAAGAACACCATAGCTTGTCCCAAAGCGAAAGCAAAACCACTGGCAATAATCTTCTTCAACGCCTGTCTGTGAGAAAGGAAAGTCAACGGTTGAGCAATGATAACTGAATACAGTCAAAATTTCGGATACAATGAAGGTGATAGGTAGTAGTTAGTGTCCTCAGATTGAAGGCGTAACGAGTTTGAAATAGGGTACTTTTTGAGGTGAAGAGATCATTACTAAAAGTTAAATTCTGATAACTTGTTTTACAAGAAAAGAGAGAGAGAGAGAGAGAGCCTGCAGAGAGATTAGCACTAAAACTACGCTTTATGGTCTGAGGGTATGAATATGGTCTATTGTGCGTCTTCTTTCAGAAAACTTTTTGGTAACCGCACAACAGAAGCTGTAAGCTACAAAAAAATGTAGTTGATGATTAATATCATTATCTTCGAAAAGTAAGTAAAGATTAGGAGCACAAGTATTATTTATTACTTATATTTTTCGAAGATTGCATCCTTGTATTTCTTCGCGAATTTATTTTCCATTCCAAGGGCGGAAATTGTTTCCATTTTCTTGAAGCTTGTTTTCATGAGCTACGATTGAAAAGAGAAAAATGGAACGATGAGCAAAAGGGCCTTTTGTTTAAAATTTATTCAGATATATTCGAGAACTGATTTAAATCGAGTCTGTCCGTAGAAATACCACGTAATTAACATTTTAGAGCAAATTTGTTATTATGCATTGGCAACTTTCTACAGAAAACATGTGAAAAAAGGAGTTACTTCGAAATTTTTTGTTATTTTTAAAATTTCTGAGACAGCAAAAAATTTTCTTCAAAGTCAGAGTCATTGCAGTCACAACCAGAGAAAATATCGAGGTGTAATTTAATAGAGACATAGAGAGACATAGAAAGCCAGTACTCACAATGTCTTTCTAAATAGAAGAGAGGATCTGCATCAACATGGTGCACTTACTGCTTCGACCCCTTCCGGTTCCACCGTGGCGTCAGCTTCGTTCTGTTGAATCCGATTAGCCAGCCCAATTATTGGCAGTCCAGCAAGCACCACCAAGGTCATCTTCCATCCGTTGTAAAGAGCCATGCCGAGCGTTGATACTGACGAAATGGTCTCCTGTACTTTGGGACCAAGGTATTTTCCTATAGACTGATAGAGCGAGAGCATCATTGTACCTCATAGCACATATTCTGTGTGTGTCAATTCGGCTGTACGTTCGTGCAGCCATCCGTTTCTACACACAATTTTCGGCAAAACTAAGCAGGATAATCTTCTTCAATTGGCTGCATCAAATTTTTTTTCACCGCAAACGGAACTTTGGGACACACTTTTCTTTTTCTCCGCAAGTGTGGCTTAAGAACACAAACACTAAAAGAGCTAGATTTTAAAGAATTACATTAGTTCTTTGGCTTAAGATATTTCAACATGACAAGTTATTGATGCCCTAAAAGTCATTATAATATTTTAACATTGTATCTCGGACACTTCTGCTCTGATACCTTAACAAAATCAAATCTACCGTAACAACGACGATCAGTGATCTCAAACTTTATTCTATGAAACATTCTAAGCAAGGCTGACGGAGAAACAGGTTATATTAGATTAAGGAATGTCAACCTCAGCTTTTAAGAGACACTCACATTTTGTAAAGCTGCCTCTACATCCTTTTCAACTTGGCTCATGAGTTGATCCGCTTGCTGTTGTGGATCTGGCAAAACCTAAAGGCAAACAGAAATAAGCTATTGCCGTTACTTTCAATTTTTTTAACTTCAAGCGGCCGTTACTTTCAATTTTCTTAACTTCAAGCGCCTGCCCAAGTTCTACATATTCCTCAGTTGTATAAAGATAAACTTGAACACAAAGTGCTAGTGTTTTCAAAGATGTACAGGCGCGCTACACGTGCCTGAATTATGAAGGAAAAGAAATTTTAGGTCTTTAAATGAAGGCTTAAGGTTAGCTGAGATTAAGAGGGAAATTTCATCATATCGAATTATTCAAGTGGTTTGCAACTCACCAATAGATCTGGTCGTGGGTTTGGTATATTTGGGGGGAGCCCTATTCCCTCTAAATCTTGAATCCCTCGTTGATCAGCAAATGAAGGCACGTTGTTCGTATTATATTGTGTTCCAGCTGGCACAACACCATACGTGGAAGGTAAACCTCCATGAGGCACCTCACCAGAACTAATCTGCGAGCCGGGTACGAATGCCCCATAACCTTCCATGGGTGTACCAGGTAAAGGTACCACTCCTCCGGCTGATGCCACTCCTGTTGGAATCCCTGCAAACGGTAATGAGCCGGGTATTAAGCCAGAAACGTGCAACTGGGGATTGTTTAATGCAAGCTCTGTTACTCCTGTTGGACTAAGCTGTGTCAAATTACTGGGAAGTCTTTGTTCAAGTCCCAATCCACAGGATTGACTCCTTGTGGACTGACTCGTGCTGGAATGTTACCTTGTATTTGTGAGGGTGAAAGCTCTGTGGGCACAACAGGAAGAGAAGGTAGATTTAGTCCCATTGGCTGAGGTGTGTATGCGTCACTCGTTTGTGGAATCTGGCCAGAGGGAATTGCTTTCATGCCTGATGATAAAACCTCGGGAGGAATTGCTCCAAAGGATGGCAATTGTTCTGAAGGCACACCAGGTACAGGAGGAACACTCAGCCCACTGGCTCTAGGAAATACAGAAGATGCATCACCCATTCCTGCGATTTGTTCAGACAGTCGTCCTTGCAAGCCTGATGATAACGATTCGGAAGAAATCCCTCCTAGAGATGGCAACTGCTCTGAGGGTAAACCAGGAACAGTGGGTAAGCTCATTGGCGTTGACTGCTGTTCACCACGAAACGGTCCTATTGATCCAGGAAATATCGATGATGTACCATCAGGCATCCCCGGAATTCTACCAGACGTAAGAGCTTCCATTCCGGAGGGTAATGATTGAGAAGGGATTCCAAACGGCTGCGTTCCAACACTAGGAACTGCTACGAAGGGGTTTCCCTTAGACTGAGCTAACCCTCCTCCAGATTCAGGCGTGAGAGGAAGGCCATCACCCATCCCAGGAATTTGGAAGGTTGGCAATCCATCCATTCCTGTTGGTAACGTTTGAGAGGGAATTCCAAACTGCTGTGTGGGAACGCCAGGAACGAATGGGAGGTCAAAACCTGTAGACTGGGGAATCTGCCCACCACTACCAGGAAATACGTCACCCATCCCTGAATTCTGAGGCACTGAGTTCTAATTGAGGAGATCACACACGTTAGCACCTTTTTGTCTTGAGTGATTTTAGAAAGAAATGAGATTAAACCCTTACTTTGTTTATTGCTGTTTCAAAGGCCAGTTTTTGGAGTCGTGTCTTTAACTTCTCCGTAGCAAAGGTGAGCATAAATTTCTGAAATTGAAAGTATAAAGAAATCTGTAACTATGTAATATATGAATAAAATAATGTCTAGTTTTATTCAGAATCAAAACCAAAATAACTTGAGATGAACTTAAGAATTAATTTAGAGAGAAAAAAAAACAGTAATACACGTTTCTATAGCATGCTAATTCTGATTCTCCGAGCCAAAATTGCGATTCTAAATTAAAATGGATCGAAATCCTTCCATGACAATTCAGAGCTTGACCTTTTCAGCCCAATGAAACCTTGCACCCGTTTTCGAGTGTCCTGCATCTTAGTTGACGGCAGCCTTCATATTCCGTACGTTATTAAAAATGCGGTTGAACTCATTTTTCTGATGTACTATTGTGATAAGCAGTTAGTCTATTACCTGCAGCGTTCATGCAATATTTTCCGTTTCTGATATATTGCCGCTGCGAAGCAAAAGAGATTCTTACCTCGATCGTGCCACCAAATCCTACTACTGCTCCAAGTAAAACAAACATACTCGCCCAGAAGGGTCCTTCACGAGCAACTCTTAGAGGATCATTCATAAACTACAAAGAAAAAAAGAAATGTACAGTTTAAAACGAATCCAAACATATGATTCAAAAAGAAATTTAAAGATATCATTTTAGGCAAACCAGTTTGGAATATCACCAGTGATATAGTGTTACGGTATTGTATTGCAGTTTTGTAAAGAATTTATAGCGCCTTAACATATGTAGCTTTTCCAGCAGAGAGCCAGAACAAATAAGCTTAGTTCATATTCTTCTGTGTATAAAAGCCACCTTTTGTATCTCTCCAAATAGAAATGAGAGGCCCGGGGCGATCATTCCTGTGATGGCTGCTCCTAGAGCCCCCGATAACAACAGTGGCAGGTCTTGAAGCTGCATTCTTATCATTTTGTACGCAGCCTCTCCTTCGTTTAACTGAAATGCGATGTTTAAATATTATTTAGTTATTAAAAACAAGAAACCACGTAACTGCTCACTATATTTCGTTGCTATATAAACTAAAATAGGAAATGAAGAATAAGTGCTTTGATTCCCAAAGAAAATGGTGTTGATATTTTGTTTATAGAAGGGATCTCGGCTGCGCCTGCCAGAATAGGATTACATTTGTACTTCTTAAGTCGTGATACCAGGTGCCTCTTCGCTGTTTTCGGATCGAGTCAGAATAAAGAATATAAAACCCTCGAGGAAATGACTTGAACCAATCACAAATCTAAACCCGCATGTGACACTAGATGCAAGAATCGTACCCAAGCTACAGCGGAGGGTGAGGGGCACTTTTCGCACTGTGCCATCCCTGCTCTCAAAAATTTTTGATTGAACGCAGAACTACTCTTTTAATCTATTCTCAAAAGAAAGCGGCAGAGAAGATTGTAGGTAGGTAAGGTAGGTAGGAAGCTAGGCAATTACGTTATAGAATAGGCAGAAAGACTAAGAAACAGACAGCCGGGTACGTAGGTACATGCAACGGGGTAGCCGGACAGGTAGCTAAAGGAGGGGGAAGCGAGGGAAGGAAGGGAGGATTGAGGAAGAGAGAAAGAGAGAAAAGTTAGGTGGGAGGTAAGCAGGTGGTTTGGCCGACTACAAGACGCTCAAGATTTCACTTTCACATCATCGTGTCCTTTTTCACACACACAAAAAATCATTACTTATTTGTTTTAGCTGAATCAAGAACTTGTGTCACCTTTTCTTGGATCATGTGTCGGATCTTGGATACGAAGCCTTTCACTTGCTCTGTAGTCTCTTCTTGGGTCTGCGTCAAACCAGATTCCAGCTCTTCGATGCCATCCTTAAACAGCGACACTTCCGATGCAACTGGTACTGTAAATCACATAAAAAAAGTTTACCTGAGCTCAGATCCTAAATAATTCTTAAACTGCACAATACGATGGAGAAGCTTGTCTCACCAGTCTTCAATAATTTCTCTTGGTGTAGCGTCTGAGATTCAAAATACTGAAAAAGAACAGTTTTAAGTGTCTTTAAGTTAACAAGTCGTAAGTTATTAAATATTTCCTTAGTTTCTTTTAGAGACCTAGAGAGATTACACCACAGCCTCCTTTGCACCGAGTCGTTCTTTGAATTGTCGCGTAAGGGGACGGTGCGTAACAACGCATAGAAGTAGGCCGACTTGACCAACTTTCCTTTTCTTTCTTTTTTTGCATCGTCCAACTTTCTGGTTATCGATATTAACATGAAGAAAAGGGGGAAAATGTTTCAGAACTACCAGGAACATGTAACTCTAGGTACAGAAAGCTGACATAAAACCCAACTAACGTCAACTGACCTGTAAAGCAGCCAGATATCTGAATGCCCCTCCTGACATCATAAGTTCCTTGGGACTCCCTTGTTCGATTATCTCACCATTATGAAGGACAACAATAATGTCTGCTATACGCGCTACGGACACGTGACTGGTTGAAATTACCGTGGTGCGGCCAAGCCTTGCCTGAAACGTTACACATTTTATATAACAAATTGAGAAGGAAAAACCTATCATACCCAGTATTGATTGACTCTCCTTTATTTTCATTTATATGGAATTTATAATTCATGCTCTATGCTACGTATTTTACCATCACGCTGAGGATAAAACAGGATATTTATTGACGCTATCATTTTTACTGAGATCTGATTCGTCTTACTTCTATACTTTCATTGTAAATTAGGTAGTGTGGTTTGTTATAGTGTCAGGCAACTCGTGTTTTTGATATTGTAAAGAAAAGTTACAAGTTATTTTATTATGAGAGTAGAAGGGTAAGCTTCAAGAGGTAAACCAAGTTTGTGCGTGAATAGTTTGATTTGTAAAACTGTGGTGTTTACATTAGAGTAGAAATAAAGTTGATATTAAGGCACGTACTTGGTTCAAGTAGTTTGTCAAAGCATCAAGGGCAAAGTTGTCCATGATAGACAAGTCTTCCTCCCACAACAATATCCGAGGATTTCTGATTAATGCTCGTGCCAACGCTATTAAATGTTTCTGATAAGAAGTCAGCGGAGATCCGTCATCACCTAGCACCGTAGCGTATCCCTGGATTATAAGCAAAATAGTTTTCCTCCATCATTTGATGAAATTATTACTCCATTTGCAGAAAACAGAATAAGGAAGGTGATAAACTCTTGGCACGGTCGTCTAATTTTCAGGAGCATAGGACATTGACTATTTTTTATACTTTACTCAGAGCTTTGACGCTTTCCTCTTTGCCAATCTCAGCAGTATACAGACAGCATGTTACATAGGAACCTTGTATATTCCCTAGTTCACTATCGTTTTCCCTGGCTCAGTGGTTGAACATCGCAGGGCCAAATCCGAAGGCCTGGAGTTCGTTTCTTCGGATTTCTTTATACCATGCCCTCACAGAACAAGTGAAATATTTTCTACGTCATAGAAATGTTTGAAAAATAACTTGTTTCACTTACGTGTGGCAAAGTTAAGATGAATTCGTGCGCCCCAGCCACCTTTGCAGCGCGCACTATTTCTTTCAAAGTGGCTTCACCTTTTCCGTAAGCAATGTTATCTGCTACTGACGTGTTAAAAAACTCAGGTTTCTTGTGGACGATGCCAATTTGCCGGCGATACCAGCGTCGATCAAGAAAACGAACATCTTGCCTGTCGAGTCGGACCTTGTAATGTGAAGATAAGGTTAGCATAAGGTTAAGCTTATCAAAAAACCTTCGCGCGGGGCTGTACGATTCATTAAAACAATACTACTTATTCTGGGTTGGATGCCAAATGTATGCGTCACAGAAGGTTCCCACGTTGAATTAAGATTGCTCACTTAACCATAACTCTTTACTTACAATCCTGAAAAAAAGGTCAAAGACGTTATTTACGCAAGAAAAAGTGGTATTTCTCCGCGAACATTAAAATCTAGAATGTCCGACACCGATACCAAACATTTTCAAGCGCACTACGTCTCCGGTATACTTAAGACAGATATGTCAAGCCAAAACGCGAACAGAGCGGGAAATTCAACGGCTGAAACGTCAAATTAGTGCTTTCAGATCGCGCAGAGACAAAAAGAAGGTTTTTTGAAAAGGGAATTATGGCCATCTTTTGAGACTCATAAACCTACTTTCCCAGTTTGTGGATCATGAATTCGCTGGAGCAATTTTATCAACGCGCTCTTTCCGCTGCCCTTGTCTCCTAACAGAGCAACTGTCTGATTCTCTTCCACTGTGAAATTGATGGATTTAAGGACCTGTGCAATAAAGTAAGAGAAAAATTCGTGTGTTCTTCAATTTACAAACACGAGTCAAAAATAAGAAAATCGTTCAAAGAAAAATCCATTTAGATGACCTGAGATGTTACGCAAGCAGTTGACGACAATTTCTTTCTTTTATCTCTCTTTTTGCAATTAACGAAAGAACTTCGGACGAACAGCATACCCTAGTTTGACATACCTGATATTCAGGTCGAGAAGGATAATGGAAGTACACGTTAAACACATCCAGTTTACCAAGAACTGTGTCAAGCTGACTAGTGGCCTTGTCAAAGGGGTCTTCATCGGTCTAGGAAGGAAGATAAAAACCTCGCCATTAGTTTGCTCCAAATGTAGTGCCATGCATCGCCACGGAAAGTTGCGTGAACTCTGTGCGGCATCTCAGAGGGTACTTTGCCACATCTTCTTTGAGTTTGTGTATCCTGCGTGGAGGCTCTCTTTAGTGCGTAGCCTGCGCGTTTCGAGCGATGTTAGTGCGCGAAAAGTCCTGAAACGAAAATGTCTATGCGACATCTCAAGTAGTGAATATCATAAGAGTATTAGAGCCTGTCTCATTACCTCTGAGATTCCAAGCAATGATGATAACGCCGTCCTGGCGTCACCGATATCTTCAAGTTGCTCTCCAGTACCTGCCATTTGCATCACACCAGAGATGATAGCCATAAATATCTACAGAGATAAAATGAACAATTATTTCTTCACTGATCATAGCTCTACAATGTGTCAATTAATCCAGTCGAGAATTGATGGTCATCATGGTTAAGCTGAACAGACATACAGACAGATAAACGGGCAATCTTTAATCAATCAGTAATCAGTAATCAGTAACTAAAAGCAATAAAGTTAAAACATGACCAACCGTCATCACAGCTCCTGGAGTGATACTTCCACCTGGTAGTAGAGTAGAACTATACCTAGATAGGTTCCAAAAAAATTCAAGTTTATTCCGTATCAAATAACTGAAAAGCAGAGTCCATTGGATGGGGTCGCATCTTCACGACTGGATTGACTATTATAGGTTTACATTTTTTAAAGAGTTATTAAAATGGGGTCGGGATTTTTGGTGTTAAAAAACTTCTTGTAAGTAGGAAATTAATAATGGAAAGATTCGTGGTTTAAAAAGTTTTCGATGAATTTCGTGCTGTTGTTTTAATATTTGATATTTAACATTCCGTTCTTCACTAAGTTGGGATGGCGAGAGTTACATTTTCCAAAAGTGACCAAGATGGGGTTAATAACTGACCAAAGAACAGACCATAACGGGGTAGAGGTTCTGACAGACCAGCGGTACATACCTAAGCAAAAATTGACTCACATAACCACTCCCGGAAACACATGTCGAGAAAAAATTGTATTACATTGTCTTCACTTTGATCTACTTTTACTTACCAAAAACCCAAGCCGAGAAAACCAAAAGCCAGTAAAGTGGTGAGTCCTTTTTGCACACCAAGAATGAGACTTTTGAGTTTATTGAGATTGTTTGCTGCTTCTACTTTACCAGAATATCTGCAGTTTAACAAAGCTTTATGAACAAGGAACTATAGACAATTCGTTGTCAGGAATTAGGATACAATGCGATATGCAAAAATATGAGAGAAATGTCATTTTTACTTATCGTTTTGATTGACTATGCGATTGACCTACTAACTGACTGAGGCACCGACTAACTGTATTATTGACGACTGACTGACTGAGTGACTGACTATATTACTGACGACTGACTGACTGAGTGACTGACTATATTACTGACGACTGACGACTGACTGACTGACTGTATTACTGACGAATGACTGACTGACTGTATGACTGACGAATGACTGACTGAGTGACTGACTATATTACTGACGACTGACTATTACTGACGACTGACTGACTGACCGTATTACTGACGACTGACTCACTGACTGTGACTGGCGACTGACTCACTGACTGACTTTATTACTGACGACTGACGACTGACTGACTGACTGTATTACCGACGACTGACTGACTTTATTACTGACGACTGAATTACTGATGAATGACAGACAGAATGACTGACTGACTGACTTTATTACTGACGACTGACTGACTAACTGTATTACTGACGAATGACTTACTGACTGACCAACTAACTGACTGACTGTATGACTGAGTGACTGACTGACCGATTGACTGTGTGACTGACTGACAGACGATGAGTGGTTTAATGACGATTGACAGACCGCCTGATCACCTGGGTTTTTCAATTCTTGATTGACTGACTGATTGAATGACCGTTTTGACAGCCTGACTGACTGAAAAAGGTTATTGGCTCGATACAAACGATTGGCAGCGAAATTATCTTCCTTGAATTGAAATATCAGGGGCTCAGTTCATTTGATCATGTGTTGTTATTTACTTGCCTAGCCTTCTCTAACTTCTCCCCGGCATATGACGCCACCGCTTTTATCGACCCCATGCTCTTCCTGGCCAATCCACTGGCGCGTTTCATCAACTCTTCCTTCTGCTGCATGACAAATGTTTGAACCTGTTAAAAAATGGCGGATGAATAAAATCAGCATCGCACCAGCGAAAACGAAGATCTTCATTTACCTACCATGATAAGAGGATCTTAATGTCAAAAATCTTTTTATTTTATACATACTAAGATTTACACTGTGAATTGCTATCGTTCGTGTCTCTGATTGGACGAACGATTTAATTTCACAGTCTTTCGCTTTGTACTTCACAGTGCAAATCTAAGTATGTATGAAATAAAAATATTTGCTTGAACGATTTTTATTCACTCGATCTGAAGCATCAAAAAACTTACCCACTTACCCCACTCGTTCGTTTTTTCAGTTGATGCATTGCAACTCGTGAGTAAATCGTTCGTGCGCGTTTTCCATGGAATAACGTTTATCCGTAAATTTCATCACCGTATTAAGACCCTCCGTCATATCTACACAAAGTCCATTTGTGAAATTGGAAATAGGTCGACATCAGGTGGATCAACACTCTACCTTACCTTGTCGGTTATTCCCTGAACTGCTACTAGCACAGGTCCAGCAGCCATCATCACTAACGTGATTTTCCAGTTTTCTACGAAGCTGACCAGAAATCCCGACAACATACTCGACAAACTCTGAATCATGTAAGCGATTTCTCCTCCTAGTCCCCCGCTGAGCGCGTTCAAGTCGCTTTGACTTATAGCTTCCTGTGGATCTCTGTGAAACATTAATAGTAAAAAAAAATAATTCTAATAAATACATTATACCTTAAACCCTAGTGCTTAACCCTTAATGTTACGCTTTGATTAACACCCCTCCTCCCAGAGACTCTCAAGTTTCTCATCCCCCCGTCTCCCTCTTTGAAGTGAATCGTGACTTCCAGTCTAAATGCATCATGAGATGTATAAATATGAGATTTTTTAGTACTTGAGCAATATTTTCGTTATAAAAGGGTCTGTTGCAAGATGTCTTTTACTTACGTGAGGCCTTGTAGGTTGACCACGCCTTCGTGTATCTTGGTATCATAAAATCCTGGGTCCTTGTCCATCACTGAATCGGTTAAATTCTCGCTCAAGTTTCTAACCCCTCGCTCGGAAGCTATGTTCCACATCACCATCTGTCCGTATGCAAAAACCAAGGTTCCAATGGCGGCGTAAACATAATACAGAGCATATTTGCTCATGTTCTCCTCAATTCTGTCCTGTATCAAGCGGCAAGATCTCGTGATGTTTCTTAGCGTGTAGTTTACGTTATTTGTTTCAGGTAGGATTGTGGGTGTGGGAGCCGCAGGTAATTTCTTAATACTCTGGACTTGACCAACATTAATGCCGTCATCGGAAAACTTTTGATTGGTTTCTCTGTTTGTTCTATTTGACGGCTGTACTGTTGATTTCTTGTCAATTACGTTCCTCTCGGTTTTTTTTCTTGTTTTATCGGAATTCATCTTCACTTTAGACTCACTTTTCTCTCTACGATATGCTTCCATTGAAAAAGGCTTGTATGTTTTCCTTGTTTCCTCATGCTTGCCGACAAAATGTTTCTCGAAATCCAATTGAGAATCAACGACAGGTTTAGAAGTTTTACCTTCGATGAAAACTTTCTTTCCATAAGACTCAAGTTCTCGTTTAGTTTTCCTTGAATTTCCAAAGCCCTCTTCCATTAATTGCTTTTTCGAACTTGCGTAACCTAATTGGTTACTGAAAATGTCAGCCTCACGTTTGAAATAAAAGAAACTTACATGACTTTCTTTCCCATTTTTTTTAAGAGGACTTTTCATTTCATGTTTTCCTTCATTAAAATGACCGATGATTTCCTCTCCTTTTGCTTTACTTGTTTCTTCTTCTTTCGTTATTTCGTTTAAAAACGCTTTCTCTTTCAACTTAACCATTTCAACACGCGTTCCCATGACAATAATTCCCATCAACTTTGTTCCGTTCAAAGCAGTGCCGTTTAGAACTACTGAAGGAGATGTTGCATTATTTTCATCAAGAGCCGATTTATGCTGCAGTCTTCCATTCAAACCAACAACCTTCACTCTAATTCCAGTCTCGTTTACTATCACTTGAACAGACTTTGTTTTTGTGGCATTTATAGCTGTTAACCCACGGGGCTGAACCATTTCCAAGGTCACCACATTCCTTAGCAGTAAATTTGTAACGCTTTCGTTTAGAGTACAATTCCAGTTTTCGCGGATGACAAGCTCGTCAGTAAGTTTTCCATAAATCATGGCTCCCAGAGAAGGTATCAAGCCGTTTGCAACCGCCATGAGGGACCCACATATCATAAGAACTTGAGAGACAAGATCTGAAACAAACTAACGATTGTGCAGGGCAATGAATCATACTTCAGTTTTTTTTCCTTTTTCATTATTAATTACCGTTTTCAATTGAGCGTCAAAAGTTCACGCTCCGATTAGCATTGGCCTTACATCACTATACTGTGTAATTGGTCTGTAGAACTTGAGCCATCTCAACTAACTGATGGAAACTTGGAACAATCACAACTTGGTCTCTCGCTTTTCACTGCATATGTGATTATTCACCTGTTTCTACACTGATTTCTCACTAGCTCCTTTGAGCATTTCTAATCAAAGCCAAAGGCTCTGCTCCAAAATGAAATAATAACCGATTCTTGCAGTCAGTGAGTTTTTTGAATATGAACAAGCCTTACTGACCGAGCGCCACTTGCATAGGAGTAATGAATATGGATCGCCACAAGGTCAATGTATCATCAAAATACGACAGGTCCACCGTGATTTATCAAATTAAACAGGTCAAGTGAAGAGGTGCTAGACCGATTTTTCATGGAGAGGGCGTCGTAACGAGAAACCAAAGTAGTTATAACGGCCAAACATACCAGAACAAAGGTAAATTTAAAAAGGAGATAATTACATCCCATAGAAAGCCACTCAACTGCTTCGTCAAACGATGGAAATCAGGAGTGATTGGTTTTCGTTGGCATGTGATGAGGTCGAGAACGAAGCGTGTTTTCTCTTGACCAATCTCATCCCGTAAGGTAAAAAAAACCCACAGCAATCCCGATATTCGAATTATAATCGCTCCACCCATGCGTCAGTGATCCAGGTTTCTCTATAAGAGTAATCTTTATAATAATTGACTCGAGGTTTGGCCGATTAAAATTCTTTTCTGTCGAGCTATCGAGCCCAGCAGTATTATGTTATCAGTTTAGAGCACAGTTCTCTTAATAACAAAGAAAACATTTGACAATTTGGAAATGCATTTGATCGAACCCACGCAAACAAGATTCTGAACTAGCCCGATTAACTCGTTTAAAACGCAAAATGGATCCAGCCGCCAAACTTGACTTATCAATTTGTTTGACAGCAGGCAATAATTAGTTGTTATTATAACCCAAATTGTATGATCATTTAACCTAGGAACCAAATGGACTGTCATAAAACCCACTTGACAGGTTCATTACCCGTAGGTTACATCTAGGAAGCTTCCAGTAACAGAAAAACTTGAGCTTTGAATTGGCAAACTGAAGAGAATTAAAGCTCTTACCTTCCCCGGTTTGTTTTCCTCACCCTCAACCATTGTCATCTAAATAACATTTTCTTCGAACCCGCGACTAAACCTCGTCATATTTTGATCTCCTTAACCTTGGGTTCAAAGAACCCACCGCAATCTCCTCAAAGGCCAGCTCCCTTAAATTCTGACTATTCTGAATCAGCGAATCCCAAGCGATCTAGGTTTTACTACAATTTGTTGTTCAAATTTTTGACAGGTTTTAACACCTTGGACTGTAACCAAAACATAATAAGTTAACAAAAGCAATAATTTTTCATCCAGCAGGTCATAATTCATTGATTGCGCGGGTGCGAAAACTTCAAACTAATAACAAATAGACCTACGTTTGTACGTTAACAAATTATCTAGTAATTTGTAACGACAGCGTCTTTGTACTTACCCGAGCCAACCATTCAATGTCCTCGGAAACGTGCCTTAAATCAGACATGTGAAGGAGAACGTACTATTATGATAAAAATTCTCAGAAAAACCAAACTTAACTTGACTCAGTTTTTCTGTTCGGAATCAAAAATTTACTCCAGTGTAACGTTACGTCTCAGAAGCTGCCAAATCCCTTTACGAAGATTTGAAATGTTCTCTCCTTGCTTAAAATCTGATTCGATTCAGGTACTAAAAATGCTATATTTGACGGACTCGGTGTTGTTCAGATACTTTCAATGGAATTGTTTATCTAGATCCCCGCTGCTCGATTAGGTGCCCCACTAAGATTTTTCGCCCTACCAGCAATCTCTCTTTGGTGGAAAATGTCACGAAAATTCGCTGAAAGCTGAGAAATGAATTTTATCTCAAAGAACAATCGAGTATTTTAAAGTCATGACTTCAACTCGCTATATGTGCGTTGTAAGTAAAAGAGATTTTTGCTTTTTCTACTATTGGCCCGTTGTAAGCAAAAATAAATGGAAATTCGAATATTTACATTCGAGTACAAGGTTGCGAGGCTTTCAACGCAACTTGGCCTGGCTTTTCGTCTCCCAAACCATGCCCTATTAATGACTCAAAGAGTGCACCAAAAGGAAACATCGCCAATAATCTTGAGGACCTAACCAACGTTTTTTTATAGTGCCTCAACTGCATTCATTGACGAACTCTAAATTAATTAACTTCATCTTGCCCCCTGTAGGGAATATTTCAATTCACAGCGTGATTAATCCAGCACCAGCTCTTTGTTCAAAGTAAAGATATTAGGTGCGATACACCTTGTATACTGAAACAGTAAATTGCGTTAGCCTGCATAGCAGGCGTAATTTTGACGAGTGAGTGCTCAGTACCTTCTTGACGAAAATTATGGCCGCCCTCTTTGATGTAAATGGCCGCGGAAGGGTGGGAAGAGAAAGAAATTTGTACCAAGGGGGCTTTCGTCGGTCAAAAATATGGAGAGAGTAATGGTGAGACACCACATTGTTAATGTTAAAAAAATTTCACCAAGCAATTGAGTTTATTGTCCTGTTAGATCAGTTTTAGATTTCTTTCACTTTTACTTATTTCTCAGAAAAAAAAGAGAATTTTAAAGACGCTCTTAAAATGTTTTGTTAATCTCAGCCTGAACGTTCTCATGGAAAAGGCTCTTATATAAAAACAAGTGTGCAACTCACCGTTTCAGAATAAGCTAAAACAACTATTCACCTCAGTGTCGATGGCTAGCTGTTGATATTTACCTCGCCGCCTCGCAGCTCGGTAACTGTCCACCATAAGCAACCTCCGCGTCGGTAAATAATTGTTAATTTTATCGCCATATAACTCACAGAAAATTGTGCCATCATAAGTTATCTTACTAGAGCAACAGACAAAGTGATTTTCTGTGGGTTTTCATCTATTCATTGATACCTCTGTGAAAATGTTTAGAGAGCACTCCAAAAGCTTCAGATACACCTGCCTTCAGCTCGCGCACTGAAAGATTTTTCTCGGACGTGATCTTTAACCCCGCGTGGGTCATTACGCCGATAGAAAGTGGTCTTTTGCTTAACATATGTACGGTTCTGACCCTTCTTCACCGGGATCTTGAATTTTAAGGACCTCGAGGTCTCGAAAAAAGGCAAAAGCAATACAAGCAGGTTATTTTTAAAACATCGATCTGACTTTGGGCTATTTAGCAAGGCCAACAGTTGATGCTGTTGTTAACTGATGCGCAACCTACAGAAGTAGTAATTTCTATCCCCTGAACCGATATGATTAAGTTGGAGGTTAAGCAGACTCGAATCAATTTCATTCAGTTTCTTGTGTAGGAAACTGTTTTTGGGTTACACTACAAAGCCAACATGAAAAAGTAACTTCTCCACAGACTTGAAGACCAGACTTGAAGTTCTCAATTCGTACAATTATCCTACTTTTTTCTGGTCATTGAAACTTTGAACACTACCTTTGAAGAGAAAAGTAGATCTCTTTCAGTTAATCTTCCCTAGGGTTAGGAAGAATGATGTCTACTGGCAGAGGCTGATGTCAATTGACGGGGAATGAGGAGTTACGATTGTATTTTCCCTTACTTTATTACAAAGTATTTTTAAGAGACCTTGGCCTAGATTGTGGACTCGAGGTGGGTAAATCCACGAGATCTCGCCAGATATGGTTGTCGGAAATTAACAATCGACCGCTCTGGGAGTTTCATGGGTCAAATGTAAAAAGGAAACCACTTCTTCATAACCTTTGGACAACTGCAAATTTTATCGAAACATGAACTTAAAATCGAAATTAACAATTTTGAGAAGTTTTCCGAATATATAGTTATTTTCATGTGCTTATGTATTGATGTTAGAAATAATAACTTCTGATAAACAAGTAACAATTCTTTCCAAGACAGTTCTTAATAAAGAAGGATTTGAAATCCTTCAAGGTCAACACAATCCTCTATCTTTCAGAATACCCTTAGTAAAACACCACCCGCTTCTAATTTCCAACTCTACGCACAGTTCGCTTTCTCTTACATAACCATATGAGACCGGCTACCGAAAGATTCAAGTTTATCACACTTATTGAATGTCTTGAACAGCCCGTTTCTTAGATCTCGGTGATTGCCAACGCCCTCTCAGAGCCTGCACTACGACCGACGTGACATCCGTCAGGCTGTGGTGCGCCTCAAAAATCTCCTCACTTGACAATGCTTGTAAAACATCAGGTGATGCAAGATCTTTAAGGGAACGTAAACAGTTACAAAACCTCTCTTTATCACTGTCTCCTCCGATAGATGTCGTGGAAGCAGAGGAATGATCAGTACTCTCCTGAGCCACCACAGCCGTTTCTTTAGGTTTGGTTCCCTTAATGTTTATATCCCCTGCATCTCCCGAATCTTTCTCATCAATTTCCACATTTTCTTCTGGATATGACAGCATTACGTCGGTTCCTTTACGCTCATCGCGCGATTCTTCACGTGGAAATGGCTCCATTAGTTCACAACGAGTTTCAACTTGAGGGCGAGAAATGTCAGCGGTCGCTTCGATAACGTCAGAGTCATGCGCAGAACGCCATGACCCCGTGGTGCTCGCCTCCATCCCCGTCTTATTTGCTCGTGCGTCAACAGTAAGTAGATCAATCACTTTTTCATCATCGACGAAGACAATTTCCGCCTCGCTTCCCTCTGGCCTCACATCGGACGCCATTTCTTCGGTTTCAACAACCAATGCTAGATCGGTTTTATTCGACGAGCAATCTTCACTGGGTTTAATCCCTTCCATCTTAGACTCCACAGCCGTTTGCGTACTTTCTGTGCCGCCGGAACTCAGAGGGTCCTCAACTATTATTGGCTTCATTACAATACCAGCCTCTCCTGGGAGATGCGCATGTTCAGAGGTGGCTACATCTTCTGTTGCGAAGAATTAAGAAAACACGTTACTACGCTGGTCAAAATATAAATTACACCTAGAATTGTAGGCTTCGCATACTGTAATTAGTTTTTGCCTTTGTTCTATCTGAGACTAGAAGGGATTGGGCAGGTGAAGGCATTGAAAAAGTTAAAAACGAAATTTTTGGAAGCAACAAAGAGAAACTGAGACCTTCAGTTTTCTTGGCTTCCTAAAAATACAATGAGACAATTTGTATTTACAAACGCTGTGAGAATGTGGTAACAACACCAGACATACTAAAGAACGAAGGTCTACTTTAGAGTTAAGTTGAGTATTACCCAGAAAACCTTTCACACACAACGCTTCTTTTGAGATAAAACTAAAAATAAAACAAAAGATTAGATTTTTCTCAGTCGGATAAACCCAACAGCATTTACAAATGATGACATTTGAAATTTCTTCCCAATCCTTTATGATTTATTAGGGCTAAAGCTATCATAAATTATTTGTACAGACTTGCAGCTCTCATTTCCGGTAATCCATTTTACTGTAGAATCTTTAGATTACCTAACTGGATCATGGGACTACTCTCACCTTCTTTGTTTTCATTCTCTTCCTTCTGAACAACTTCTGCCGTTAACTTTGCCACAGTAGATTTGGAATTCCTCCCTCTTTGAATTTGATGGAATCTTCTTAAAGCTGTCTTCAGTGTTGGTACTTTGGGTGATTTGATGGGTAGGTTTTTTACCTGAAAAATTACCTCTTTTAGCTTGTCTTGTCATCTCGTGAAACTCAGTTGTCCTTATTTATATAAGGTTTGTAAAAACCTTGTGTGACAATTTCGGCGAAAGCTACGGAGCCCTTTTTTAAAGAAGTACCACTCTCTACGTTGTGAAAGGAGCATGTAACTTTTACGGCCGGTTATTTAAACAAAGTTTACCCGTTGTTTAACAAAACTGCGTTCTAAACTATCTTCAGTTCCGCTGAACCTTTTATCTGAACATTTAATTTTGTGAAGAGTGTCATGAGGGGCGAAAACTAACAATGGAATGAAATTTATTGAATCAGATCAACCCTCTCATAGAGAATCCCTGAGGCCCACTGCTTGTGTGAAAACGCGGTTTGGGTTAGACCTCGTTTAAACGACCGGCCCTAAGAGTTTTTACGATAAGCTGACTTATACATGTACACGCATTTTGATCGGTTCTTCCTTATGATCTATTGTAGGACATTAACAACATTTTACTTTTTCTGTCACATAAAACAAATAGCTTCCATATTGCTGTGGGTCTTTACGCCAATAGATCACAGAAGACCTCAAAATGTGGTAAAAACATCAGTGACACACTTAGCTGTGCATCACGAAAAACTTTTTTTGTTCTCACTACTGGTAGCACATTGATTGAAAGCCCCGATGTACGACTTTTCTGAAGCAAGTAACTAAAACACAATGCATTTCTGGTGGTTCTGTTTGTATTACCTGCTCCTCTTTCAAAGCTGACAAGTTTCCAATGGTGTGAATATTCTGCGCACGCACCAAGTGACCCATACCACGTGACCAAGACATGGTGAGAATGGAGGGAAGAATCTGTTCAACTGGCACTGTGCAAGACACAAGATCTGGGAACATGCAGTCGGTGGAGTCCTGGGCACTATGGGCGTTGCTCGATGGTAAAGGTCTCCGCTGAAATGAATTCAAAAAAAAAAAGAAAGTAATTTAGTGATTTAGTTATGAGAATTTCAAAATTTGGTGTTAGATCAAGGTAATAACCTGTTTGCTGGATAATGTATGGATAGAAGAAGGAGAAGCTACTTCTAAATAATTTCTGGGAGTTAAAGGGTGTTACGTACTTGCTTAACAGCCGTGAATGGAGAAGAGCCCGATGTTTTAAGGTGTGAAGCAATGGTAGTTAGTTCAGCGGTTTTTTCTTGCAAGTCTTCAGAACTGTCATCTTTAACAGGTAGAGCAAACGAAACTCTTCTGACCTTGATAATCAAAATAACAAACAGAAAAAGCACAATTTGGTTAGCGCATGAGACACACAACACAGCAACATCATTTGCTGATTAATATTCACTAGAAAAAACAGAAAGATCGCTTAAACCTTGCTTTTTTCGTTCGTTACAAAACAAAACCTAAGTTTGAATAAAACAGTTCTTGTCAGATGGGTTGACAACTAACTAGAATCGAAATAAGTTCTAACGATAATCAGAAATATTTTAAAATTCCGACGAAGTCGTCCTTGAAAAAATAAAAAACGAGAAAAATATCGACTCCAGAAGAAATGGTGGAATTTCACTCTTTAGAAATTAGGCCGTTGAGGAAAACGCTCTCCTTTACCAATTGACAACACCTGAAAATACTAGATGTGCAATAAGATAAATAACTACATTAATTATTACTACCTTTCCGGGAGGGGAGGGTGAGTCAACTCCTTGCTTGATCGCATGGTATCTTTTCAAAATACCAGTTGTGGGAGAAACTCCCGGGGAATTTCTTCCGCGGAGATTCAATCGACACGGACTACCCCCTGCTGCAAATGGACGAAGGAACTTGCTCTTAGCGTTTAAGACTGGAGACGAGGTTTCATCCCTCGTTACGCCAGCGACAAATGGCTCAGCGGGTTTCTCCATGGGTGTTTGGTCATCCAGCTTTTCAGTCTCTGCCAGTTGCTGACCACTGAGCATAATTCTGCTGATCTCTTGCTCTGTGGGCTCTTCTTGTGGTTTTTCGAGCGTTGGCGTCATCTCGATCTTCTGTTGAAGTTTTCTTCTCGTTCGCCCGGCAACTGGCGAAACTTTCGTCTTAGTTATTGGTTGTTCTTCAACTTTCATAGGCGAATCAGAGTCGAAAACTTTATCTTCTTTCAGAACATCACTCTCAAGTTGCGTTTCCAATGCCGTATCAACGTTTTTACCATCAGAATTCCCTAAATTATTCTGCTCTATTTTCGAGTTTCTCTGAATACTTGCCCTTGTTTGAATTAAACCCGGTAGAATGGAGTCGGGCGGGATCGTGATTTGTCTAAGGGACTGAAAAGGGGACTCAAAGCTTGGCGTTTGTGACGACGGTATGACGTCAGGTGACATCACTTCGTCATCACTGTCCACCTCATCTTTATCAGTTTGCTCTGTTTCGTCGCGCAGGTTTCCATCTTCATTTTGGGAAGATTCCACTAATTCGACAATTTCACATTCTATTCCTTCGACCTCTCTATCGGCTCCTTCACTGATCTTGTCTTCCATTTCTACCCCATTTTCTTTAGAGTCTTCGCCATTATCCATATTTCTCCCAACTTTATTTTCCGTTGTTGCCCTTTCAATGGCCTCCGCTTTGTTTTCGTTTTCGCTCTCGCTTTTTCCTGTTCCTCGCACATTTGAGCCAACCTGGAGCTCTTCCTCGTTCTGACAGACCAATTGTTTCTTGCTACCAGGCGACTGAGGTTTTTCTTCTTCTACAAAGGGGAAGAGAGAAAACACATTAAACAATTTTTCAGTCGATTGTAGTCTCACGCTATTAGTCGCCCCTTGCTACCGGAACTAATTTTGCTTCCATTATTCTGCCCAAAGCAGCTAAGAGTATTACTAATCCTCTGAATGGAATTCCGCTAGGTCCACAAATTCATCAAAATTCCTTAACAGTTTCCTGATTCCGACTGATACTCTTGGGCAGAGAAGGGAAATGTAAGAATTAAGCATCTTGTCCAAAAGTACAACGATATGACACGGCCGGGGTTTGAATCCGGACCTTCCAATTTGGTTTCCAGTCCGCTGACCACTAAATCTCCGCGCCACACTAAACAGTAATGAAACACTAAGTTTGATTGGCTGATTAGGAGAGGATTCAACAAAAATGCTGGAGTTTCATTAAGTTTTAAAGTAAATGGCAAAAAAGGCAGTGCAGAAGGCTAATGGAAGTTCGTTTTTTAACATAACGTCATTAATTTCAGAGTAAGTAGGCGGCGATTTCGTTTGACATCCAAGGAGAATTCCACCGGTTGCCAGCTCTCACGGAAACCCTTTAAAATCATCCATAAAAGAGAAGCTCACCTGGTGAACTGTTTGGAGTCGTGTCACCACTATATGGGAGAAATGAAAAAAAGAGATTCTTGGTTATTGTGACACCTCACACTGGCCTACATGAAGGAAGGAATGGATACTCACGTGACATCTCCATGTGACGTAAGAGTGAACTGTGAAAATTGTGAGCAGTCTTGTGAGTGGTCAAGCGCATTGTAGAGTGCAGGAACATCACTGTAGTGAGGAATAAAAAGGATACAAATTATCAAGGGTCCAATGTGCTAAAAATACGTGGTATATTTCATATGTGGTGAAGGCTCACGTCTGTTAAGTCTGATTTTTTTCAATTTTTTCGATAAAAACTTCATCATCGAAGAGTCCGATTGATACTCTGATTATTACCTTGTAAAATTAAGGGTTTACTACCAAGGTAACAAAATTATACAGTACTGAATAATAATAACAATAACAAAAATAATCATAATAGTACAGGGTGTAAATTGAATTACATCCACAAAGTGTTTCTTCGTCCATTGTTTCAGAGTCGAATTTGAACTTTGGGTGCTAGGTTTCGAGGAAGAAGCAGTGGAGAAAAACCCTCAGAGCAAGGACGAGATTCAACAAAAGACTCCACCCTCATGTGATGTCAGGTTTGGAAATAAAACCCGCTTCATCGGGAGGCACGAGCTCTCATCATTTTGCCAACCCAACTCCCCATCCCTTGACCATCCCTGTTCTTTATAAATAATGTGTACCATGAATATTTTGCCCGAGTTTAATTTTACGGATTAACGATTTATCATGTTATGCAACGACTAATTTCTGACCAAAATTTCTGATCGGATCGATTTTTTTAAAACGAAAGTTCCAGAAGCTAAACATTAATAAGCAGGAAATATAAAGTCATTTTTTCAACCATTTTCTCTGGTTTACAGCAGAGATGTTGCACTGGATTCCTTCAAATCCTCAAGAATAATACATCACTACCCACAAAAACTGACATTAAAACGACATGAAACGAAAAAGAAAATACCCCTATCCCTTCCCACATCTAGAGTTTGCTTGTTTGTTTGTTGACGTTTTTCAAAGGATTAGCGGGGTTTTATATTACAGATTTATATTATTCAAGTTTCACGGCCTTACAACCACTTTTTACGTTTCACTTTTTAAAAACAGTGCACAAAAAATTTTGCAAAGAATAATCCACGTTCTTATTTTTTTACCTTCTACTCCGCATGATTTCTTTCTGATGTTCAGTAAGCACGCGCTTCTTTTTCGGAGAAGGGGCAATCCTGACGTATTCCTATAGACAAGAAATACTCACTTCAAATTATATTATTATGTCATTACTTTTCAGCGGAGAGATGGTTACAGAGTCAATCACAATCATACTCGTTATGTGCACACTGGTCACGAGCATAGTGGTCACGTGTCACTGAAATGGTCAGCATTCCCCTACAGATATCGACCAACCTGGTCATCGTCGTCGAACTTGGACAGCGGCAATTTTCTCCTCACATGCGTATTGGCCGGGGAATTTCTAGGGCGTCCAACTTTTGGTGAGCGACTTATCTGAATGCATGAAGAAATTACAGAAAACTAAAGACAAACTGGAAGCAGTAACACCAAATACTGTATTCATCCTGATTTTATCACTTCCTTTGAGTAGACTGTTAGTTGTAACTCTCTGAAAATATTGGCATTGAGGCATTAGCACCACCAAGAATGTCGAAAGACTGTTGTGTGGAGATGTATTCTCGCTTGGTATATACTGAAACAATGGATAGCGTTGAAGGCGCACTCTGATTGGATCCTCAACTCCGAATATCCTGTGCTATTCACTTCCAAGCAACTCGCGCCCGAAGATATTGTGATCGTTGCGGAATAAATGAGTGAACATTATATTTTGTGCTATATTATCTCACTCTTTTAGTGTATATAAAAACAACTATTCACTGCAGTGTCGGTGGCTAGTTGCAGATATCTACCTCGCCACATCACAACTCAGTAAATATCTACCACTAGTCACTTTGGTAAATAGTTGTCAATTGAATATATGGGACGCTTCCAACATCCGTGATCGTACCAGCATGAAGTATATAGCTTTGCTCTTTAACTTGTCGGCTCTGTCTTGATCGGTAGAGCATCCGACCAGAAAATCGAAAGGTTCCGACGATAGGGACAAATGTCACACGCCTCTTTATTCGACGATTGAACCTTAAAGCCACCACATCATGAGTAATTTTCTATTTGTTACTATTTCAACTGGAGATGTATTTGCAAATTTTACTGCAAATGTCGATATTCCCTCTAAAAGCGTTCATATAGTCAAAATGTAAACGAATTCTTACTCTTTTAGGTGAAGCATTTTCCACCACTTTCTCGACACTCAAGGCCTTGTGTAAGAAACTGCCCTTCAACTGTGGGGACCCTCCTGAAACTGACGTATGCTTACGGCGCTGAGGAGAGCCTAAGATACCATATGGCAGCGGTTTCACAAGGTTTGCGTGCTGGGTAAGTTCTTCAGACTATTATGATGTTGAGAGAAGAAAAATAGTTAACGACAGATCAAGGGACTAGAGATGCTCATTAAATCTAAGTTGAAGCTAGTCACTCCCAGGAACGACCAAAAGGGAATTTCTCCAAACGATAACAATACATCCCCAGGCGAAAGGGAATATTGCTTGATCTTGCACTAAAGTTTAAGCTAAAATCACACGAAATTAATGCCAGACAACTGTAGAGAACGTATCATCGAATCTTAGAATAACAGGGGTAAAGGAACTACGTTTTTTCTTTCCGCCAAACGGAACGGTCGTTTAATTAACGAAATAGAAAAAATATGGAAAGATGTCAAAGTACTAAACCAAGATAGAGAGTCAATAGTTGAAGTAAAAACAGACCAACAAAATAAACCTAGAAAAAAATTTAGCGTGGATTTTTCAAGATGCAAAAACTTGAACTGTAGCATGCCGGAGTCCTTCAGATATCACTGTTAGATGATAATCTAAATAATGATTGCAAACTAAAAAGAGAACAAGCACAACGGTGAAATAAGGGTTATTAAGGGGAAACAGAAACTGAACTACTTACTTCGAGATCCAAATGTGCGTCTTTGTCTGAAATCTGAATATAACAATAAAAATTTTAAGAAAATATATAACAAAACAAAAGAAAGTTGATCAGAATAAACACGTTTTTTTTTTCTTTCGTTTACTTCATGTTCGTTTCATAGCCACAAAGCACATTAAAATGTACCCTAAATATTCTGCTACAAAAAAATAACCAAGTCGGCAATCGTACCTTAATATTTTCCCAGCCTGGCAAAGTAAGTGACATTTTATCTTTGGCAATCTGAAGAACTGGTCTGGGAAAAAAATCATGAACATTATCAACAGGTGATAATTGGGGGGGATAAAGAAAAAGTGTCAGCAAGTTGATTAAAGACCCTAAATTGTAAAAAGCTTCTCTGTAGCCGATTGTCGAACTTAACCCTTACAGTTTTGACCAGCATCGAATTTCTTCTTACAGTATCACCCCCTGAATCACTCATTAACGTCACGAGAATAAGGAAATGATTACCAACTGAAGCAACTCTTGATTGTTAAATAAATTCTCCTTCTCGATACCTTAGAAACATATAGTCAACAGTACGGAGAATATATACGCTGATGTTGGGGTGTAAAGGGTCACATCCTTTCGAAAACACAGCTAGAACTCCATTACAAGTCAGACCTTTCCCTACTTTCTTATAACTGATCTCCTGGACCAGTTCAAGTTTAAGGTCCCAGAAAACAAACCCTCTCCACAGATGGATTGTTGATGGATTGTTATCAGCTATTAAAAAAGTAACCACACTGTCTATTTTGATGTCATTTCCAGAGGTAATTTCTTTTATATACCTTAAGGTTTCAGGATACTCCAACGTTCGCGAATGAGCAAAAGTAGCATTCCAAAACATGACAGCGTGGTTCTTGATACTCCTTTTGGGATGAACTAACGTCACTTCCTGTTAAGAAAAATTAATAAAAAATTACGTTATTAAACCCTTGGATGAAGGCTTCACTATTAAATAGAAGCTTATTTACACTTTCACGCTCCCTATTTCCCAAATTGTCACCCACTATCCGAGACAGTCGGGGATTTCAAGATTTCGAATTTTAATTTTTCGAAAAATCTGAGACGGTGGGGAAATGGTGAAATCGCCGATAGTGTGGAATTTTCCAGACAAACTTCCAAGATCTGATTGTTAATTTTCCCCTCTAGCTACAACAACTTTCCTTGTAGATTGGTTACGAGAATTTGCTGTTCGTTCAAGATAATATCTTGCACCTGATAAGTTTGAGTATTCTCACTACCTGTTTGCTGGATAATGTATGGATACATAAGGGAGAAGTTACATGTTAATCACTTTTGAGAGTTCAAAAAGGTTCAAAAGGACAGAATAAAAGCGCTTCATAACACACCAGGAGAGGAGACATGACAGATAACAGGTCAGAGTTGTACGGCCCACCATGGCGGCTCTGTATGCAGGTGAGAATATCAGACCACAGCTTCTCAATCTGGAAAAAAAAAAACATATTACTAAACACGCCAGACCAAGAAAGGCCAATCATCTCTCATAATCTTGACTTGAATAAGAACTTTTAATGATTCACGTCTAACCATGATGGGTAAAAATGAGGAGGCAGCGCATAGGGTACATACATCGGTGCAAAAAAGTAAAGAATTAAACATGAAAATATCTGAAGTTCTACCCTACCTTTTGAATAAGTCTTGCAGAAAACAGCCTCTTGTCCAAAGAGCTTTCAGTGATTTTCGTGCTGCGTGAGAAAAAAATCACCACCTTTTGTACATGCAAATTAATAAATTTACTTATTTCCACGCGGTTCTTTCTTCGCAATTTCAAATTTGTAACTTCCTTAGGTCCCATTTCATCTCTTGTTTCCTCATTAAGGGTTTTCTTTGCAAGAAATACACTGTGTGTTTTAAGTCATGTCACATACCAAGCATAACCATGACGATACGTGGCTATGGCATTACAGCCCTTGTTCATAAAGATGAAAACGTCTAACCATTGGTAAAGTAATCTTGAACACAAAGGAATCAATTTGGTTCAAATGAGTGCTGGTCTTGACACTAGCTCAAACCTCCAACATCGTGCATAGCAGTCCAACACTCTACCAGTTTTACTAAACAGGCAACAGTTTCAAAGCCTCCTTACACTTGCGCCAAGATCGATGATGTCTTTGGTAACACGCAGAAACGGAACCGCTCTGCGATTATAAAAATAGCATCATACACTGTTTTACCTTGTGTGCGCATTCTCTATGTAATGCACCAGAGCAGAGCTCAGAGTCTTCAGAACAGCAGTTATGGTCGCAGTTCCATTGATGTGAACAAACAGGTAAGACAGCTTGTCAATTAAGTTCGTAAGAGCAGCTGCTAGAATACCAAGGGCTTGGGTTGAATCCTAAGACGATAATATGATCAGTGCGTTACTAAAATTTTAGTATACGATTGGCTTTTTTAAGATTTAGTATGTGTAATTTTAAGGCGAGTTAGGTGCAACAGTTGTATTTATTACGTCTTCTTTCATCATCAACTTATTATCTCAATAAAATTAAAACCTGGAGTAATGGGACGTTCCAGTAATCTGTAATTAAAAAAATTTAAGAGACATTTTCTGAGGTAATCAGCCCTCAGAGAGAGATATGAATAAAGGCGTATCTTTCGGCCCGGAGCGCAGTTCATTAACCTTTTAAAACCTAATTTCTCACTACAATATCACTCCTGAATCACACACTAAGGTAATGAGAATAAAGGAAATGGTCACCAGGGAAGGAATCTTTTGATTGGAAAACAAATTCTCCTTGTCAGCACCTCAGGAAATATATAAAAACAGTGTGGAGAATATGCATACTGATGTTAGGGTGTAAAGGGTTACCCATCGAGCTACTGTGTCTCCCATGCAGGCAACTTAACTGTCAAGAGAAATAAAGGCTTCCAATTATTAATTTTATTCTGATTGGCCAAAAGCGTACGGTGAATTTTCGAAATAAGCGCCTTGGACGTCATCTAGCTCTAGATTATACAACAAACATGTCAAGGACACTCAAGGTCACGAGTAATCATGCCATGTTTGACCGCGGTGAATGTTTTCTAAGGGTATTCATGTCAAGTTCGCACGCTTTGTATTGCTTACAGATTCGTATATTTTTACAAGTTTGAAAATAAATTATCAGTTCCACTCACTTTGGTAACCAATTTTTTTTCTTTCAATTTATAATAAAACAACTATTAGATTCGTTTTCTCGGTAACGAAAATCAGAGCCTCAGCCTTCAGCTTCGGCTGATAACCCCTGCCTTGACCTTGATTATCCTGGATATTACAAAAACCTCATCAAATGATTGTTAAGAGTAAGGCGATGAGAACGATATTTCACATTATTACCTTACTGTTCCTCGTTCTCTCACATGCAGACAGTAACTTGGCTACCACGCTAACCATGCTCGTCATATTGCCCATGGGCCGTTGGAATCGTTTATTCCACTTAGTAGGGGTAGTGTTGGGTGACTTTCCTGATGCTGTGGTTGCCATGTCAAACAAACTTGGAGTTGAGAAATCAAGGCATTCTATAGCCACCACAATGAGACTGACAAGCGTGTCAACAAAAACCACGCCCTGAAATTTAACGAAAACAACTTCTATGAAGAAAGTACAAACATGCGATCATCAAAACATTCAATTTTGACTGATCAACATGTAAGGGAGCAAAACTGTACCTGAAATTAGGTAAAAATTGTCAGTTTTCTACAAAAATACAGCGGGAAAATAGAGAATTGCCATTATTAATACTAAGTTAAGTTAAAATTTTACCGTACAATTGTTCCACTGAAGAGCTTACCATACCTTAGATTTCCAGTCACCCTCTATTGTAAGGATCTTTGCGCACAATTCTTCACAGCAAATGTTAGTTTCAGCCGTGGGAACAAGAGCAGCAGCGCGAGAAAAGGAACGGTACAGCTGTACCAGAGTCTTGCCCACCTCTTTGCCGAGAGTCTGCACATGAGAGAAGCATCAAGGCAAAGGAATAAGGAAAAGTGATTCTACGGAAACGGGTCTCCAAGTTTTCAAAATACTAACTAGCACAGCTGACAAGCATACCTGTGGTAAATCTGTATCCAAAAGATGTTTTACCGGAAATATTAGTGCCAAGTACAGAGTGCTGAAGTCATGCTCTAGGGCATCTCCTTGGTTGACATCATTCGTCTAGGATAAAAAGATTTAAACAATCGGACTATGAGCTTGAGATTTCTATCACGTGATAGTCAATGGGTGCGTGGCCAAATTCAACTAATGCACTGATCAATTCGAAAATTTATCGTCCCCAATACCCCCCCCCCCCCCCGGGTAACCCACGGATCTTTCACCGTCGTCCATGCCCAGGGGGTGGGAAATTTGAACCTTGCCTGGATGGGGTGGGGAATTTGACGCATGGAATGCACGTGTTTTATTTTCAAGTATGGAGGAGTTTAAAGGTCAAGAGTCCATTTTAACGAGGAAATGGCCTCGATATAAATTTTCACATCGTATAATGACTCTCACCAGCGAAAAAAACCAACGGCGGCACCGAAAGCTCATATGACTTTGCTAAATTCTACAACACCGTTTACCACACAAAGAATGAAGCAATAAAAAATTGTGCGTGAGTGGGGCATTGGAATATAATTTTTTCTGGGGAGGGAGAAATTGAAAACACCGATCTTCAACAGTTTAAATGCGCGGGGAAGGAAGGGATGAAGCTTCTAATTGATCGATCCATAATCCCCATAGAAATCAAGAGCAAATATTTTCATTGCCAAACCTTTTGAATGTGTTCACTTAGGTGGTTAACAACGCAGCTCCACAGCCTCCAAAGAGTGTCTTTACCATTGACAGAACTATGAAAATTTAAAACAATTTAAAATATTTTAAGCATTTTCATCTCAGCAAGAGCAAAATAAAAAATGAAAAGATCTTTGCAATAAATTACGTATCAGTTCGAATCATGTTAATGAACAAATCTCAAGGACTTCAATCTCAGTTGGTCAGAACTTTACACAAGGATCGTAAGATAACATGTAAAAATCATGTTGATGTCCTATCTCTTTTGGGACGCTGTTCTTTTTAGCAGGTATCTCGGGACAAGTTTTAATCCTAGTTGTAATAATTAATTCTTAAGATTATTCATTCCACAAATGCAGTTTTCACAAACCCTACACAATATATTTTGCGTATAAAAATCATAAGGCAAATAATTATCAAAAAGGTTCTCATACACCTTTCATTCAGTTCTAACATTGCACAGTACCTTGTTCCCTTTTTGAGGAGATTTAAAACAGTCTGCAAAAAGAACAACTGTCCAGAGGCTGCTATCATTCCACAATCAACAAGATGCTCAAATGCCAAATGAAATCTGTAAATAAAGCATGACGTTATTGTAATAAATGCTTATAAAACCTACTTAAAAAACGTATATACCCCGGTAAGCTCATGCGCAAACGTCATCATTCCCCCACCCCCTCTGAGCAACCCACAAGGGAGTGGCAATTGAACCTAGCTGGGGAAGGGAGGGAGGGATTTGAAAGTTTCTAACAGATCTATGAATTACATGCAAGTAAGCTCCCCCTCCCTGTGTTCTCACTACAAAGTATCCTAAGCATGCAATTGCTCTGTTTGATAAAAAAAAAGAAACCTAAACATTAGTGTAATTGCCATGACACAGCGCCCTTTCTAATGAGGTACTATTCACACAAAGTCCAAGTGGTATTACAATCGATTTGAGAATTATTCTCAAACCTCTCATCCTGCCAGGTATTTTCCAGTAAATGTGGAGTGAATAAAAGTTGAATAAGGAGAAGAGTTGGTGATCCTTGCGGATTTTCTCTAGAATGAAGTGATGCCGTGTGATGACTTAAAATTTCAGCAGGCAGCTTAGACAAAGCTTCAAGCATTTTCTGTTGTGGAAAAATTAATGATGACAAAATTAATCAACAGTATAACCGTTTTCCCTCTTAGTATTAATCAAGAGTGCTTCTTAAAGGAGTATTGCAAAATCAAAACCAATGGGAGGCAACCACCAATGAAACAGAACAAAGAAGCAGTCAAATCTCCATATGTCATGGAGGAGTGATAAAAGATTTGGCATCTTAATTTTCACCTTACGTGACAACCTGGGATTGGCTATCCTTTAAATGATCTAAACTATCAAATAAGCATTTTCATGAAATATCCAATTCTCCATTGTCTTCATTTATGAAAATTTCCTTATATTTCCTACAGCCAACAGGAAAGTAAATATTTATGGCACAAGCTACAGAACAAGCAAAGAATGGAAGGCAACTAGAGTACCAAGGGGTGAAGGGGTGTGTATAATTGACTGTTAATAAAAATTATCAATGATTTCAGTGAAACTCACAAGCACTAAAGACGATGACATGAATGAACTGTCCACCAACTCCTGTGTAACAGCAAGAAGTGGAAGGAAAAATTCTCCACACTCTGACAATGGACCTTAAAATGAAAAATTGAATTTGTGTTTTTTGTAGAGGAATGTTCTAGTACACAAACCTTTCAGAATTTTCTGTTGTTTACCCTGTTATGCTTAACTAATGAGCATAGTAGTGCATGTTGATTTACAAATAGGATATGATGTAATCATGTTCATTTAAGTGGAGCCCCTATCAAGCAATTATTGCAGCTGTGTTTTCTATCAATAAATCTGTGTGTTGCAGACAACAAGAGATCACCACAAATTGTCAATAGATTACATAGGAGTGGAGTTGAGACATGAACCAGCAGAGTAGTGGCATTAACTTAAAGGAGTACCTTTTTCCAGGACTTCCTCAATTCTTTTAACAAGCAGGTTCCACACTCTGATACCCAAAGGTTCTACAAAACAGAAATTACAAAATAATATATTAGAAAAAATCGACCCACTCACTCCAACGATTGAACAAAAATGAATTTATCCTTTCAATGTCAATAAATTTTCAAGCAGAAGAGTAAGGAGAGGTAAGAAAACTTTCAACTAAAGGATACTCTTTGACTGAAGATTAGATTCTCTCATTTAAAATTATAAGGAATGTAGGGAAAAAAGTAATGAGGTTTGATATCTGAATCTTTAGAGAGAAAGAGTTCAACCAATGGCAAAGCATACAGTACACTTCTCATCTCTTAATCTATTTTATTTCATCTATAGCAACAATTCACTGAAATAGAGGTGGCCAGTGGTGGATATTTACAGAGCCATAAAGCAGTGAGATAAATATCCACTGCTAGCCACTTACACCAAGGTAAATATTTGTTTTGGTATATACTAAGACAGTGAGATAGTACAGCACAAAAAGATGTCTTTAACTTATTTATTCCTACTATGATTACAGTATTTTTAGGTGCAAATCCCACACCAGTTGCTCGGAAGTGAATAGCTAAGGATATTCAGAGTCTGGGTAACCAATCAGAATGTGCCTCCAATGCTATCCACTGTTTTAGTATATACTCAATTGACCTATCCATTTAGTACCTGTAGCGGTGAATTGAATTATCAAATATGGGTTTGAAATTTTTTCCTAAATTTAATTATCAGTGATTCTTGTAAACACAATTCTATCCCATGAATAAACACTTTTTGGTCACGTCATCAGTTACATTTACCTGCAAGATCTTTACCAAGAGCTTTGAAGACTTCCCTCACAGCACTTGTTAATAAAGAAGCATGTTTCTTAAACTCCTCTGGTTTTTTGAAAGTTACCATCTGCAATCTCTCACCTAAGATTAAAAAATTAAATTACAGTATTATAGTCTAAATTCAAAACTTCAGAATCCAGTTGAAAATAATTGCAACAAAAGCAAGTTTCAATTAAATGTTAAGTGTCTCAAGTAGTGGGGGAATGCATGGCTTTGCTTCATTTTTCTCCATGAATGGTAGAAAAAATTGTCCCACCAACAGCAATTCAACCAATCTGACACAAGAATAAAACCAATCATGATGTAATAACTGATGTTTTCTTTCTTTCATACCATATCATAAGTTCTCAATGGTTCCATAAGATAATTAATCCCTTCATTCCAGGTTGTTAATTTACTTTAGAAAATCACAGAAATTCTACAGCTACAATGTAGTATTCTGTTGTAAATTTTGTTGGCCTAAAGTAGGCTTAATGTAAAGCAGAAGTGGAGAGAATTTTCTAAGTGCTTCACACTATATTCTTGTCCTTTTAAGACATGTACCAATGAAAACCCTGCATTCTGACAGGCTATTGGCCACTTAAAGTAAATTTTGTTTTTGTTTTTTAAGGATCTCAATCAATCAAGAAAACTATGGTAACATTATCAACACCAGAAATTTCTTACCCAGTGAAACAATAAAATCAGAATTTGAACTAAATTCAGTGTCTTCTGTCTTCAACAATTCCATCAATATCTCACACCCTTGTACAAGAAGCTTTTGTTTCACTGGTTTGGCAAAGCTTGCATTTAACACAGTTGGTGTTCTTGGAGTTCCCATGTCTTTGAGGGATCTGCGGATACTTGACTTGGGTGTTTCTGCCATCATGTCTGACAAGAGTTTGTTGTTTGTTGGTGTTGGAGGGCATTTGAGGTCACTGAGCCATTCCTTGGTCTTCAATGAGCTAACTTGATCAATGGCTGTGCCAAAGACAAACTGAAGAAGTGGAGTGCAAACCTAGGATAAAATAGAGTACAATGTAAATTTTTGTACATGTTTAATTTATGTTCAAGACTACATATCATTTTTAAAGTCAAAAAACAACCCTTGATCTAATGATATCTACAAGTACAATTCTATAGAATAAAATTGTGGTAAAGAAAAAATCCCTATTTCCTTGTGACCAAAGGGATACCCCATGCAAATATACTTTTACCACTAGAGAGTGTTACATGACTACCTCATACCTGATAAAAACAGTGGCCAACAGAATAAATTTGACGAATGCAGACTCATGACTTTACAACATCCACCATCCTGACAACTATCTTTTAATGTTGGCGTTCCAAAAAAGTCATCATCAGTGGCCAAACGTTTGACCCTTTCATTTCAAACATCACATTGGCAATTCTCCTAAGTTATTGTCTGCCATACAATTTTTATGATGTTAGCTTGGTAAATTTCGAATTGGATCAACTTATAATCCTGTAATTGATATTTTTCTGTATCATCACTTGTTTGCTTGATATGTTATTGATAATGTAACAAGAAATTCTAGCTTGGTGATTTAATTTTATGGTAGTAAAAGGGTTAAGGCACTGTTCACCAAATTTTAGAAGAAATAAGATCAGAGAGCTCAATGGGAGAGAGCTACACTTCCCTATCATCTGATTGGCAGTATTTTGGAAGGCATAGTGTGATGATTAACCCTTTCACTCCCATAAGTGATCAAGACAGAATTTCTCCTTAAGGTATTGACACAATATCAAGCAGACTAGTGATGAGAATAAAGAAAAACATCAGTTAGGGGATTATTGGTTGATCTAAGACTAAATTCCCTGAACTAACATTATGAGAAGGGTATGGCCAACAGTGACGAGAATTACTCATGAGATCTTGGGAGTGAAAGGGTTAAAATTATACCTGATCAAACAATTCTTGAACTTTTGGACCCAATGAACAGACAAAGTGCCACCAAGTGGAGAGTCTGGCAGCTTCAACTGCTTCATTTCTCTCCTTCACAGCAAGATTCTGGAAACAACATATATGGACAGTTGACGATTTTTTTTTAAATTGTAAATATTGTCATTTATTTTAAATTGGAAATAATGTAACTGAACAAAGAGCCACCCAGTGGATCTGTCAATTAAACCATTATTATTACCATTATTATTATTGTTATTGTTGTTATTATTATTATTATTATTTTATTATTATTGTGTCACACTTTTATGGTTATATTTAGTTACATAGTATAAAACAAGATCACAAGAGCAAGAGGCTATAAATTAAGTGAGAATTTTGCAGCACCATTTGAAAAAATTGGCAAAACAAGGCCACATGGATAAAAAAACAGTTGTTTCAAGAAAGGTTGTTGGAAACGACAAAAGTGCAATGTTTTTGAAAGGTAATCTGGGTATCCCGTAATCAAATTATTTTAATAAGTGACAGAAATAGATAACCAATAAATAACCCAATCCCCTATGCTTTGCCTTACAGTGATGATTTCTCAGATTTCCCAAAATCTTGAGGTCAAGGAAACATGACATGAAAACTACCCACAATTATTCTTTTCCAGATTGCTGAATGCATTTCTATGCTTTTATTCAAGTAACCTTCCTCGAGACAGCTGTATATGGCAATATATCCATTTTACACATTAATCATGTCCAAGGCAGCCTTACAAATGACATCGGGTAAAAAAAGGAAACACACACACAACATACATCTACTGCTGTACATGCATGATAAAGAATTTGATGAAGAGAGTGATTTTTTTTTTTGGGCAATATAGTCACTATCAATTTTAGAATGTAACATTTCAACTGTTCTGTCCAGGGTCACTTGTTACTGCTTGGCTGCTGTGGTTTGCAGATTGCAAACAACCAAGAATCAAATTTTAGACATATTGACTCTATATGTTTATGTTTATTGACTCTATATGTATATATCTTTTCTCACCCTTAAAGGAGTCAGAATAAGCTTGACCCTCTTTGGACTGCCGATGACATCTAGAAATAATCACATGTAAAAGAAAGTAATAATTATCTCAGGTTTTGCTTCACCCTTTGCACCCTGAAATCAGTATGCAAGTTCTCTGTACTATTCCCTCTATATTTCCTATACTACTTTGAGAGAGAATTTGCCCTACAATCAAAAGCTTCTTGAAGTTACAATCATTTCGACTTACTGTTTGATTCAGTGGTGATACTGTTGAGTGAAATTTGATGCTTATTATTCAGAACAGTCTAATGTAATAGTCAAGGAGAAGATGACAGAAAGAGTCGACCTAATAGCACCCCCCACTACATTTGAGGTTTGATATCAGATTACGATAAGTTGACACCCAGAGATAATCACTACATTAGTCATAACCACAAATTGTGGGGTCAGTGTTGGAAGTACCAATAATTATGTGTTCAGGAACTTTCAGCAATACACCCAGAAATACCCAACCAAATAAAATAACATTTAGAAGGGTGATGTAACTTGGCAGTTAGTTAATGTGGAATAACCATTGGTATGGGTTACCATGGCAACACTAGCTGAGGAAACCTAGAAAAAAACCTGATTTTGTGAATATAGTCAAAAAGCTGAAAAGAACAAATGGCAAATATTATTCACTCAAAAAAATACCTTACCATGGATCTTGCTTCATTTACAAAGGCAAAAGAAATCAGTGGAAATAACCTGAAGGCTTTGAGGACATTAAGTTTTTTTTTTAGGAGAATGTCATGTTGAGAGAAGATATTATTCAGTGAATGATAGGTATACTAGGAGAAAAAAGAAACCTGAGTGCACCCAATTGGAGAGGAACCTTCCACCTTCTTATTAGTACTTTGGATGTTCTACCAGTGAGCTGTAGGAGACTGGGTTCAGACAAAGCTGTTTAACTAGATCCATATTGCATTAATTTTTCTAGCAACAATAGCCAAGAAATTTCAAGAAAGTGGCATTGAAGATATTATATTCACAGAAACGGCTTATGGCTTTTTTTCAACAATCATGCTTCTTGAAGGAAATTCATTAAACTATGGAGTTGAGGCACAAGCTTTTAATGGAAGCTTTGCTGAGGTTGCTGTGGAAAGCATTCTGATCCTGTACTTCAGAGAAGTTCTGATGTAATGAACAAGAATATCTGCACATACAAGATGGCATCTATCACTGAAAAAGGGAAAGGTACATATCTCCTGCTATGTGATACATCTCCTGTGATATGTCTCCTGTTAAGCAAATTTAAGGAACAGAGTTTGTTGGCACAATTCAAGTTTTGAGGATGGCTACAAAAACATTATGCTGCTTCTTCTAAAGTTCATCAGAAGAGCATGATACACACTGGAAATACAAGGCAACAGCTGAGATAATCCTAAAATTTACTCTATGGATACAGCAAATTAGTTTTGTTGACTCCCAGTTTATATCATTACCCACTGAAAGTTAATGAGTGCCAATCATCCAGTAAAAAGGTCACCATCATTACTTTGTGTGTCAATCTGAGAGTCAGTAAGATCTGATGAGAGCTCCCATTGTAAGGATTTTGTTGGTGGATCAGAGAGTCAAAAGAGCTCCTGATCACAAGAAGTTTATTTGTTTGGGGAGTCCTGAGCTCTGATAAGAGCTCCTGACTGCAGGAAGTTTGCGGTTTGATCAGGAAGTCAATCTGCTCTGATGAGAGCTCCTGACCACAAGGAGTTTGTTGGTCAATTGGTGGATCAGAGAGTCAAAAGAGCTCTTGATCACAAGAAGTTTATTTGTTTGGGGAGTCCTGAGCTCTGATAAGAGCTCCTGACTGCAAGAAGTTTGTGGTTTGATCAGGGAGTCAATCAGCTCTGATGAAAGCTCCTGACCACAAGGAGTTTGTTGGTCAATTGGGGAGTCAATCAACTCTAATAAGGGCTCCTGATTGCAACAAGTTTGTTCTTTGATCAGGGAGTCAATCTGCTCTGATAACAGCTTCTGATCACACGAAGTTTGTAGGTTGGTTAAGAGCTTCAGATTGCAAGGAGTTTGTTAGGCGATTGTGGTGTAAATGTGCTCTAATAAGAGCCCCAAATTACATTAGGTTTGTTGGTCAATTGAGGCATCAATAAAATCTGATAATAGCTCCTGATTGCTGTAAGTTTGTTGGTCAATCAAGGAGTTGATGAGAAGAAAACATTTGTTGTTTGATCAGGGAGTCACTCAGCTCTGATAAGAGCTCCTGATCACAAGGAATTTGTTGGCTGGTTGGGGAGTCAATCAAATCTGAGAAGAGCTCCTGATTGCAAGGAGTTTGTTGGGCGACTGTGGCATCAATGAGCTCTGATGAGAACACCCAAATGAATGAAGTTTGTTGGTCAATTGGGAAGTTAATCAGTTCTGACAAGAGCTCCCAATGGCAAGGAGTTTGTTGGTCAGTCAGGGAGTCAATGAGCTCTGATAAGAGCCTGATTGCAAAAGGTTTGTTTGATCAGGGAGTCAACCAGCTCTGATAAGAGCTCCTGATTGCAAGAACGTTATTGTTTGGTCAGGAAGGCAACCAGCTCTGATAAGAGCTCCTGATCACAATGAGTTTAGTTGGTTGATTAGGGAGTCAATCAAATCTGACAAGAGCTTGAGATTGCAAGGAGTCTATTGGGTAACTGTGGCATCGATGAGCTCCAATAAAAGCTCCCAATTGCATGAGGTTTGTTGGTCAGTTGGGAAGTCAATCAAATCTGATAAGAGCTCCTGATGGCAAGAAGGTTGTTGTTTGATCAGGGAGTCAATCAGCTCTGATAAGAGCTCCTGATCAAAATGTGTTTGTGGGTTCATTAAGGAGTCAATCAAATCTGATAAGAGCCCCTGATTGCAAGAACTTTATTGTTTGATCAGGAAGGCAACCAGCTCTGATAAGAGCCCCTGATTGCAGGAACTTTATTGTTTGATCAGGGAGGCAACCAGCTCTGATAAGAGCTCCTGATCACAATGAGTTTAGTTGGTTGATTAGGGAGTCAATCAAATCTGACAAGAGCTTGAGATTGCAAGGAGTCTATTGGGCAACTGTGGCATCGATGAGCTCCAATAAAAGCTCCCAATTGCATGAGGTTTGTTGGTCAGTTGGGGAGTCACTCAAATCTGATAAGAGTTCCTGATGGCAAGAAGGTTGTTGTTTGATCAGGGAGTCAATCAGCTCTGATAAGAGCTCCTGATCACAAGGAGTTTGTTTGTTGGTTGAGGAGTCAATCAAATCTGATAAGAGCTCCTGATGGCAAGGAGTTTGTTGGTCAATCAGGAAGGCAATGAGCTCTGATAAGAGCTCCTGACTGCAAGAAGTTTGTTGTTTGATCAGGGAGTCAATCAGCTCTGATAAGAGCTCCTGATCACAAGGAGTTTGTTTGTTGGTTGAGGAGTCAATCAAATTTGATAAGAGCTCCTAATGGCAAAGAGTTTGTTGGTCAATCAGGAAAGCAACAAGCTCTGATAAGAGTTCCTGATTGCAAGAAGTTTGTTGTTTGATCAGGGAGTCAATCAGCTCTGATAAGAGCTCCTGATCACAATGAGTTTGTGGGTTGATTAAGGAGTCAATCAAATCTGATAAGAGCTCAAGATTGCAAGGAGTTTGTTGGGCAACTGTGGCATCAATGGGCTCTGATAAGAACTCCCAATTGCATGAGGTTTGTTGGTCAGTCAATCAAATCTGATAAGAGCTCCTGATGGCAAGAAGGTTGTTGTTTGATCAGGGAGTCAATCAGCTCTGATAAGAGCTCCTGATCACAAGGAGTTTGTTTGTTGGTTGAGGAGTCAATCAAATTTGATAAGAGCTCCTGATGGCAAGGAGTTTGTTGGTCAATCAGGAAGGCAATGAGCTCGGATAAGAGCTCCTGATTGCAAGAAATTTATTGTTTGATCAGGGAGTCAATCAGCTCTGATAAGAGCTCCTGATCACAAGGAGTTTGTTTGTTGATTGAGTCAATGAAATCTGATAAGAGCTACCAATGACATGAGGTTTATCAGTCAATTGGGGAGTCAATGAGCTTCTATAAGAGCTCCAGATTGCAGGAAGTGTTTTGTTTGATCAGGGAGTCAATCAGCTCTGATAAGAGCTCCTGATCACAAGGAATTTGTTGGTTGGTTGGGGAGTCAATCAAATCTGATAAGAGCTCCTGATGGCATGGAGTTTGGTGGTCAATCAGGAGATTCAATCATATCCGATAAGAGCTCCTGGTGGCAAGGAGTTTGGTGATTGGTTAGGGATTCAATCATATCCGATAAGAGCTCCTGGTGGCAAGGGTTTATCAGTCAATTGGGAAGTCAATGAGCTCCTATAAGAGCTCCACATTGCAGGAAGTGTTTTGTTTGATTAGGGAGTCAATCAGCTCTGATAAGTGCTCCTGATCACAAGGAGTTTTTTAGTCAATTGGGGAGTCAATCAGCTCTGACAAGAGCTCCTGATGGCCAGTAGTTTGTTGGTCAATCAGGGAGTCAATGTTCTCTGAAGAGAGCTCCTGATTGCAATAACTTTTATTTTTGGATTAGGGAGTCAATCAGCTCTGATAAGAACTACTGATAACAGGGAATTTTTGGTCGACTGTGGCGTCAATGAACTCTGATAAGAGCTCCCAATTGCATGAATTTTATTGGTCAATTGGCTAGTCAATCAGCTTGCATCAAAGCTCCTGATTGCAGCAAGGAGATTGTTGGACAATTGCAGAGTCAATCAGCCCTGATAAGAGCTCCTGATTGCAAGGTTGCAAAGTCAATCAGCTCTGAAAAGAGCTACTGAATGTAAGAAGTTTGTTGGTCAATCGGGGAGTCTGAGCTCATCAGAATTCCCTATTGCAAGAAGTTTGTAGGTTGATTGAGGAGTCAATTAGCTCTGATAAAAGCTTCTGATTGCATTAAGTTTGTTGGTCAATCAGGGAGTCAATGAGCTCTGAAAAGAGCTTTCAATTGCAGGGAGGCTGTTACGCAATTGAGGAATCAATAAGCTCTGATAAGAGCTCCTGACTACAAGAAGTTTGTTGGTAAATCAAAGTTAAAAAGCTCCTGATTGCAAGGATTTGTTTGGTCAACTGGGTAGTCAATGAGCTGATGTATGATTTGCCATCAATCAATCTAGTATAGGCTGACAAATATGGTGACGAAGTCAGAAGAGGGTTGTCCACTAGCTGTGAAGTGAAAAAATTAACTTCAGTCCCACCAGTACCCAAAAAAGGGAACAGCTTTATCTCAAATCCAATGAACAAGATGGACTTGAGAATTTTTGGAAGTCATACTTGGACTAAGAACATCTGCCGTTTATTCTTTTCAACTGCAAATAGCAACAAAACAACAACTGATCCAAAACAATTATGAATGTTCTCTTATACAGCAAATCGATAAGAAATAATTTAAATGGCATTTTCAAATATATTTCACAAAAACCACATTTATCTTGGTTTCCTTATCAGCCATTGCCAATTGGTCACAGTTAAACTATGCACAATTATCCCACATTAACCAACTGATTTGGTTGAGAAGTTCCCAAGATATTGCTGAAAAGTCTCTGAACATATGAAACTTCCAAGAGCACCATCACTCTTAGGAGTCAAAGAGTTAACCCTTTAACTCCCAAGAGTGATTAACATGTAACTTCTCCCTGTAATATCTAAACATTATCTGGCAAACAGGTCATGAGAATACTCAAACTTATCAAGTAGAAGTTGTTATCTTGATCTAACACCAAATTTTTGTAACTTATTTACAAGAAAATATGTGGCAGCCAGAGGAGGGAATTGACAATCAGATCTTGGGAGTTAAAGGGTTAAATTTACCTGATGAGAGGGCAAAGTTGTCAATAAGGATATTCCAAGCAGAGAAGGACATAACCTGAATTTCAGTTGATGGATCTCGAAATCCCTAAAAGTAATATGACAATGTAAATAATTAGCTGTCTTAAGACTTGACAAATATTGCTCAGTGCAACAAAAGAAAAAAATAAAGTTCTCATTGGAGTTAAATCCCAACAGGAAACAAAACAAAATTACTATTACCTGCTCAACAAGCTTTAGTAAGTCATTAATCAAACCGCCTCCTCTGTGCAAGGTCTGCAGAGAACAAATAAGATTTTAAACAAAAAAATTGTTGATTAGCGCTGATATCTTGATAATTTTCTCAACTCACCCAACCTGCCTACCAAACCTAGATCATTCTTGGCAATGAATTTGTTAATTTTTTTGTATTAATAAGAAGTGTGTATTGAACTCAACAAACACAACTATAATTCACATGATTTAAAGATATACGTATACACGATTGTGCCCTGCCTTGCAGTACATCTCAAAAGTACGTTGATCGTCTTGATTTGAAACCCTATTCTCATAAGAAAAAAAAAAAAAACTTTCGACAATCAAGGATACAAATTAGAGGATAGAGAATTGAGGATCAAGAAACAAGGATTCAGAATCAGGGATTAAGAATTGAGGATTGAGAGCCCTACTGTATGTGTGCTTGGGCCATATTCAGTAAGACAGAACATTTTAATCACCTCTCCAAGAATTTGAACGATGCAACACCAACACTTGAGCACATATAATCCTTTTTTTTCTGAACACATTTTGGGAAACTCTTTCAACAAGCACTGGAAATGAAGAAAAATTAACAAGACAGCTGTAAATCTGGCTCTTCATATGTCAAATGAAAGTTGAATATCTTATACAGTATTATTTTTTATTATTAGGACTGAAGATTTTGCTGAAATCCAGGATATACTGAGTAATGACATCCATGGGATCCTAGCTAGAATCTACCTAAGAGAGGCTACCTCCTACAGGTGGCATATATCTATTACCATTAGAGACACAGTAACTCTTATATTGCATTGCTATATACTTCAAACAAAGGAAGGGAAAGCATGTGGATTTAAAGGAATTATGGATTGAATTATTTCTAATTTTCTAAGGAAGGAGTTAAAAAATATCAACTTACTCCTTTCAGTAGAGGAAGAAGAATTTTTATAACGATTTCTTGGGAGGACATCAAGTGTTCCAATCCAGCATACATCACCATTAATGCCCTCTCACACACCTGAAAATAGATGAAAACCAGCTAGGCTTAAAACTTTACAATGAGTATTGTTCTGCCAGCCAAACTAAAAAAGCTGGGATCATGTGCAATTAAGGAGGTCTTCACCAATCAATTGTGATAATAAATGGGTGACTATATCAGTCTGAGGTCAATTGATGTATCAAGTGATGGTTGGCCAATGTTCAGATGACCAACAGTCTACTAAAATTCAACTAAAAAGTTCTACCTTTTCAGACCAAAACTGATCATGTAGTGCCTCTTACTACCACCTAAAATTGCTGGGAATTCTTAAAAATTTAACAGGTAATGGGGTTGTTGTACCAGTTTGAAAATTTATTGCACCTGCCCTCCTTAAAATAAGGGAGAACATTACATTTAGTTTACCAATAGTTAACCGAATCTTGACCAATCACTGAGAGATGGATAAACCAATATATTGACCAACTATCAGCTACAATCAACCACAGCTACATACAGATCATTGAATCCAAAAAAGTTATTGCAGTGAACAGCAAACTATGTAAATTGAACTCTGTACCTTGATGGCTGAGCTAACCAGCAGAGGAAACACCAGCTTTGCCCAAGAGTCTACTGTCTTGATCATTTCGCTCTTTGGAAGCTGTTGTAGAAGCCTACATTAAATAAAAATTTAGAGTTACTGTATTAATTATTGGAAATCTTGCCTTTAAGGTACAACTCTCCTCAATTTATTCCATACAATGACCTGGCTAGGGTTTCCACCATGATCTTTAAGCCCTAAGATCAGTGGAATATCATTAATCCTTTCACTCCCATAGGTGATGAAGCCAGAATTTCTCCTTACATCATCAATATAATAACAAGAAGACAAATGATGACAATAAAGAAAAATATCACCTAGGGAATTACAAGTTGATCCAATACCAAATTCTCTGAAACAACATCATAAGAATTATATGGCAAACAGTAATAAGGATTACTAATGAGATCTTGGGAGTGAAAGGGTTAATAAGGAAGAACTTTGCTGATAAAAAACACAAAGGTGATAAGCAACTATTATCTAGATAGTTTAAATGTCACTAATTCTGATCTGTAACTATTAAATTTACAGCATTTAATTGTCAGCTTACAGAGAGTATATGTAATATATTATACCTCTCTATCACACAAAGAGCTTCATGATCCACAGTTACAGACTGGAGATCCTTTGTGACAACTGATTCCAAAGTAATAAGAATGGATTCCAACTAAATTGAAAACAAACAATACACCAAATGAATAATCTTTCCAATCAGTATCACAGTTATGTAAGAAATCTTAAAGGGTTAATATCTGATCTAAAAGAATTAGAATTCAGTCAATACCTTAGTATTTACAATCCCACTGTGTAAATTCTGTTTAGCAAGACACCACAATGCTCGAGTGCAAACTCCTTTATCCTCAGATTCCTGTATTCTTGTCAAAAGACCTGCCAGAGGATTTCTTGGGTTAATGCTGAGATTCTGATAACACTTAATTCAGTCAAGGCAGTTGAGGCTTATGCAATTTAAGAAAATGTTTAAAACAAGAGTTTAAAGCTATTTCACTTGACAAAATTTTTGCAAGAGGTTGTTTACAATTAATGCCGAGATTCTAATAACAACAAATTTAATCAAGACAAACGAGGCTTAATACAATTTTAGCAAGGCTATTACAAAGTAAATACAGTTGTTTCATCAAATGAATGTTATTAAAGAGGATTTAGTCAGAGGACACTGTCAGGCACTTTTATGTCAAGTGCTTTCCTTTAAACCTGTTTTTTAGCATCATTGGCACAATTATTGATCATGGAAGCAATTATGCATATAATAACCTACCTTGAATGAGAACTTGACCATCTGACAAGCAAATTGAACTGCAAAAAGACAATGAAGATAATTTTGATTCATTACGATTATCAGAAACATTACTTCAACTGACTGAGTAAACAAAAATTGGACATGACAAGCTATGGATCAATAACATTTGTGAATGCTAGTTCCAATTAATATGCACGATGAATAAGACTTTGGACTCATCACAAAGACTGGAGGGATGTTAACATCAGATGTAAATTCAGATTGTAAGACCCATGATGTTTCAATGTACCATTTACCACCTTGAACATGCCCAGCCATATCTTGGGTGGATGACAAGGGTACAAAGTATACAAAGAAACCCTGGAAAGTAACTCCTTAAGTTTGCCAGCTTTCGTTTTCTTAGATACATGTACAACCCTATGTAAGTATTAGGACTGCACTATAAACAGAAGTTCAAGCACATTCCTAAATGTAAAACTGGTAAGAGGGTCCCCTGTACTTTTGATCTGAAGCATGATCGGGCAATTTCTTTTCTCAAGAATCATGATTTAACTTTTTCCTTAATTCTTTAATTGTAATTAAAGATGACAATATCTTTTCATCTCCATGAGAACAAATGTTTTTTTTTTTTAATTTAAATGTGACCCATGAATAAAGAGCTGGATTATACCTGATTTGTGGACCATTTTGTTTTGTGTGATGAATTTTCCACCATTTTTATGTTTTGGCTATACATGGACTTTATATGGATCAATAAAAGTCATAGAAAAGACTACAAATGGTTCTTTAACAAATAAGGTAAGTCAGTAAGTTATCTTTCATCACATAGGACTAGTCAAGGCCAGAAAAGGAAAAATTAATTCATGAATTTGTCTTTCTAATTTTTATGTAACATGGTCATCTTAAATTTTACACAAACATGAAAGAATTCTGGATATTATTTGTGATGGGTGAAAAGGCCAAATATTTTTAAGAGACTGAGTTTCACAAAGGAGAATAGGGGACCCTCTAGTAATATGCAAGATGGCTGTACTCATACCTGGCTATTTCCTCTTGGTAGAGACAGTGACCAAGTGCTTGAAGTGATGCTTGGCATAGATCTGACTTATCAGACTGAATATCTCTCTGTAGAAAATGACACACCAGAAACTGTTGCAATAATGCTTGAAATCTGAACTCATAATAATCATCCTGACATACATAATGACTTTTTCATTTCTAATGTTTGTTTAAAATCTTTAATGTCGAAGCTGCTACCTGAGTTATCAAAATAGGTTAAAATTAAATGCTCATGCAGAAACTGGCAATGCAACAATTCATATGTTGTGTATAAACAGCATATGGTATTACCCAAGTTATGTGTGTATGCTTCTCCCTTGACACCCTTTTCTGTTGTCAAGAGAAGAAACATTGTATGAAGAGAACAGCAAAAGACAAGGTCTACTTACCCGAAAGATCGTGACAACTCTTTTAATTAGATTAAGTAGCTCTTTAACAAATACATCTTCCTCCTCTCTTAAGCGCCTGGAAGGAAATTTCATTACAATTACTGTTTAAATCTTGTTGCCTTTGTGAATGTAGACGAAGAGAACCGAGTTCTTACATGACTCATTCTAAACATCACTTTCATTTCCTCATATAACTTGTATGTAGATTATTGACCTGTGAACAAGGAATTTCTTAAAAAGCCAAAATAAAGAAACACCCTTGAGACTGACTATTTGTAATAAATATGGGTCTAAAGTGTTAAGCTTCAAACGTTAACACACTCTTTATTTCGATCCTATTTGATTTTGATGGCAAAGTGAAGATGATCGCCAATCGGAAATATATTTCCAACAGCTAATACTAACAGTTTGAATTTAATACGTAAACATACTTTAAACTAGTTTTCGTTCGTGACTTACTCTGTCATTCTCAGATAAGCATCGACTTGATCATCACTCGCCGCCATGTTGTCTTCGAGAATGCGAAGAAGAGGTTCGAAAAGCCCTTCGCATTCCGGTATAGTTACCATCTTTTTTCCCTCTAGAGATGTTCCTTGAAATATCAGATCTATAGATTCTGCAGCAAAAGCAATAGCAGGGTCACAAAAAGCCAGGCTTGATCGCAAACGTACCTAAGTTGAGATCATCAGTGAAATTGCAAGCGTCCATGTTCGACGCGTGTACTGCAACGACCTCAGCTTATTTGCAATCGCAAATTGCTTACTTGCGGTCTCATGCAAATCTTCGTACCGTATCAATAAGTTTCCTTAATAAGATTTCACTCGGAGAAAAAATCATCAAAGGCTTCTAATAACTCGTAGTCTTTATCGCTCAGAAGTATCAGATCGATTCTGCCGCGAAGGTTTCTCTGCAAATCGCGCCAAAGTTATGATTCACCCCTCTGATTGGCTCCTAGTTCTCAACCAGAGCTTCTCGGCAAGAACCATTACAAAGAGTCCTGGACCCCATATTAAAATATTAAATGATCACAGCGGCTTCTCAGCGGTCAATTGAACGTCTGCGCATGTGCACGCAGCGGAATGGTGTGTCTGGTGTGCCTTTTTAAAGAGTAGGTTGACTTAAAAGGAGTTATACAAATCACAGAAGCCAGTTAGTCACTGGTTTTAAAAAAACCCATAGCTTTCTTAGTGTAGCTCAAAGCAAAATGGTAAATAAACAGGCTACCGTTGTAAGTGCGTCTTGTCTTGGAAAAGTACCACGATTACCTCTTCTCTACTTTTGCTTCCTTTTAAAACTTTCTAAGAATTTTTTTTCCACACATTCTGTGGGAAAGTGGTCATTTCTTGTAATTGGCTTTGCGCGGGGAATCGGCACGCAGCCAGCCAAAATTGATACCTCAGTGCATTTTGATCGGGACACGCGATTAAACTCGTGAATATATCTTGTGTTCACCGTTTTCCGAGTTTTGCGGTAAGAGTAACGAAGGTTTCCCTACACACATGCATGCACATACATTAATCCAAATGATTGGGGAAAATATACGTAAACCAAAAGGCTAATTAATATTGCAGCCCAACTCTACACTAATAAACAGTCAAACAGTAAGTCATGTCATAACCTTAACATATATAATATGTGATTTATTTCAACTCCTGAATTAACTTAACAAATCCAAGGTTGAGTTACTTTTGCTTAACATAAAAAATCTTCGAAAAAATCGAAGGAAATACTAGATTAATAGTTTGCGATCACGCAAATCAGACTGCATATTGGAAAAGATAGTAATCACTGACACGAGACAAGGAAAGTAAAGATTTTAGAGCAGTTTTCAATTGATAATCAATAGTGATCCTGGACTGGGGGATTGCTTCGGTTCTGCTTTACCCCGGTAAGTGATTGGTCTAAAAAATGCGTGCTATTGTCTCAAGCAATCAAATGCAAAACTGAAACGGATCCCAACTTTGGGTTACCCGCGTCTTCCGTGCTTCGAGCAGGTCATTTGTTTTTACTTTCAGTTCTCAATGGTTAATGATAATGTTAACCTCTGTTCTGATTGGTTGTTGTAACTACTTTGGTCTTCACTTTTCGACACTCAATTGAAAACTTGCGTATGATCTTCACAGGGCGGACAAAGATTATATAGGAGGAACCAGTTAAACTTTCTTCCAACTGTAGATGTCTAGGATGCAATAAATATGTCCAAGTTATTTAAAATGAACGGCTAAAAGTCGTCAGCTGATGTCTCTTCTTTGACCGTTCAAAAACTCAGCTTAGTGCGAACATTGCTTAAGAACGAAAGCAAACAAACGAGAAAGTATAATGATTTACATATAATAGCTTAAAAAAGACATTTCATTGTTGTGCCAGCATTCAAAATTCCTGAGTAAAACCCTTAACTGTCATCTTCGTTTGTATTTCTTCTGGATAACTCAGCACTTCAACTTCTAGGACCCACTAAGTATTTTGCAATTTCTCTCTTGAATAATTAAAGAATTTGAACATATATAAAGTTAACACCTTCTACAGAAACCTGCTTATTTTGACACTTCAGAGATTATAGGGATTAAGTTCATCTATAATAACAAAAGAACCAAACAAGTTAAGCTTTCACTTTGCACTACTGCACAGTTCGTATCTCTACTTCTCCGAAGAGACGTTTTTCTACCAATTAATTTTAACTTTTAAGTAATAACATGTCTTTCGAAAAATAGACACTGATGATGACTGATTGCTAAAATAACCAAACTCTTTCAATTTTTTTCGTTTCCATGCTCAATATTTTATATTTTTGAAGTGAAATTTTGGTAACCTATGTTATCGTAGCTTGTAGTAATTAAAGCTCGGATTAGTATATACTAAGACAGTGGATAGCAACGAAGGTGCATTCCTCTAAAACAAAAATTGGGTAAATCTGCAATTCACAAGCTTAAACTAGTTGCATTTATCCTTTAAGGCTGTAGAATCAATAGTTGCCTAACTGTGTGTGTATTTGTGCCCTTTTTTTATGTACAGCATACAATGCAAGCAATATTTCAATATGTAATACTGTCCAGCACAAAATTCTAGTGCTTCAAGAAAACATGTACATTTACTTCCCATCATGGAATTGTAATGTATAGGCCCATGCAGTGTGCAGTGGAGGAGGGGGGCACTTCAAAACAGGGGAATATCAGAGGAGAAAAATAAGGTACATGTGCCTTCACTCTTTGTCAAGAAATTACCCTTTAACTCCAAAGATCCGATTGATAATTCTTCCTTCTAGCTGTTACACATTTCCTTGCAAACAAGTCATGAGAATTTGGTTTTCTCCCTTCAAGCTGTCCCACATTTCCTTGCAAACGAGTTACAAGAATTTCCTTTTAGATCAAGATAATTTCAACCTGATAAGTTTGAATATTCTCATTATCTGTTTGCTGTCCTTTTTGAGATTGAAAGAGCTCTGCGGTAATTCACTATAATATCAAGTGAATAGTGCCTTTCAGAGGTGATTAGCCAAATACTAAAGAGCAACCAAAGAGCAACACAACGCTTTCTGCTTTGCTCCTGATAATTAAGTGGTAAATACACCAATCAGTAAATGAGACAGCTGTGGTATAAAAAAAGTGTATCAACGAAGTTTGGTTTGATATGTTGAGGTGCTAAAATAACAAGTTTTGTGGTCGAAAAAAAAACTAATATTAAAAACAAAAAAACAATGAAATTGGCTTTATTTCCCCAACTTGTGTTAAGAAAGGCCCCTCTCCTCCTTGCCTAACATTTCAATGAAAACTTTTGATGGATAACTACTATAAATGTGTTTTTCACTGGGATAGTACACACTGTATTTTACACAAACAGGTTTACAGTTCCAGATAATTGCTAGAGATATACCATGCTCCCACCACCCTCCACTTTTTTTAAACTCATTTTATGATCATTTTTTTCAGCTGGGTTAAAAAAAGGAAGTTTTTGTCTTATCTTTGCCATTTAATAGCTATACTTTCTTGTCACTTTGGTTCTGACTGCAACAAATGTATTGTCAGAAGACCAACTTCATGTATTTTGGGCATCAGTTTACCTTTTTCACAGAGGTACCAGTCATATCTGAAGCTGTTTGAGGTCATTCCAAAAATTTACAAAAATGTTTGGAAGAGTTGTGACACAACCTTACCTTCAGAAGTCTCCCTTCTAATATGACATTTTCTAGGAAGAGCAACATCAATTAACAAGGACTTCTCTCCTCTTTGACTGGCTACAGCCTTTATGATAAACTTCATTCATGTTTACGAATGAATTAGTCAAGGCTGTGAAAAATGCAAGTTTTCTGGTTTTCATCAGGTGTGAGCAATTGGTCAGCAGACTTAAGGTAGCATGAGATTACATTTCTGGTCTACAAGCCCGAGATTCACACTTGAGACAAAAGAGTTTGCAAATAAACATTGAACTATGCACAAAATTTTTTGTAGAAGAAGTTGTATATTTGTCCACGTGGCAGTCAGGTGTAAGTAAAATTAAAGAAACAGCATACAAGCTGTAACCTGGATATCATTTGTTGGTAACAGCTCTTTGAACTTCAGTCTGTAAAGCCATCACACCCATGCTTCAGAATTATTTCTAGAAGCACCGTCACTTGATGATGTCTGACCTCTCTCAGTGTCTTCCACAGCTGAGCTGTTTGAAGACTGCTGTGGACGTGCTCTCTGCAATAAAGCCACATCGACTCCTCGGACAACATTGTTGTTTTCAGTTGTGTAGCATTCAACTACCACATTTTGATTCAGTGCTGCCCATCGTTTGGAATATTGTTTAAAATGCTTCAAACTATCAAAGTACAAGCCACCAACAGCTAGAGCAATGAATAAGCCATTCACCATATAAGCAAACTTTACTTCTTCTGTTGTACGTTCAGCAATTGCAGATGGAGTAGTGCTGACACGAGACCAGATGATCCATGTGACAGAAGTCAAAAGCATTGTTGCAAATGCAATGAAAAGTCCTATGTGTAGCCATCCCTTTGTACTTACTTCAGGAAAAGACCACTGCAGAAAGAGGAGTGGAAAAAATTGAATATATGAACAAAACTTTTAGATTTTTAAATAATTCTAAGGCTGCTAGAACCATCATAATTTTAAATTCCCTGACGATTCATGAATGATGGTAGCCATAATCTATAAAACTCTTTACAACAACTTGTAGATTACAACTTAAGTCATTGACAAACTGGCCTGCAAGGATCATGCCATTATGTTAATAGGATCTTCACTAAATAAATTTAAGTTTTACTTGTTAATTGTTACTCTGTTATTCTACTTGTTGTGCACCTCAAAAACATGTTGGGGTGTTATCCAACCATGCCATGCCTTAGTAAGTGTCAAAAGATACAGTATGTCCTTGGCCTACCCCTCCCCCTGACAAAACTAAGATTATCATAGGGGATATTAGGACACTTGGTTTCATTCTGATACTAACAATGATTCATTCAGTCTGTTCATCTGGGGTGATAGTAGTGCTAAAAATGACAGTTCATAATGACTAACATTTCAAAAAGCCTCCCAATACATCCATGAAAGTTATTCTTACTATATGCTAAACATTCCTCACAAGTTCATTCTGAGAATTTGGTGGTGGATCAAATGGTAATTCCATTCAAAAGTTTAAGAGTAATAAACAAAGAAAAGTTTACTGTACCCTCCAAAAGCACTTCACACTTTCCTTCCTAGTCTTGAATTTAAACTTGCATAGCTCACAACTCTGATGTCCAGATTTTGAAACCCAGTTCAGTATACAACTCTGATGAGCATACTTTACAGTTCCAGTGCATTTGCATGGTTGTATGAGCTCTTCATCCTCACTGCCACCATGACAAATGCGGCACATTAAACCACAGCTCTCCCGTAAATCTGTAAGTTTGCTGAGTGACGA